GGAGTTAATCTAAAGAAGGATGGAGACTAGAGCGACTAGAAAAAGAGAAATCGAGATTTGATACATCGACGAGAAGATGGAAGCAAGGGAACCACCAGACTTGCGTCGAGATGTTGATTGTAGTCCACCAAAATAAATATCCTTCGAGTATGCCACTGGCCATATTGTTTTGCAAATGTACAGATCCTGCAACCACTTATTTATAGAAAAAATCATGATCATTAACTAAGAGGGCCTAGCAACTCTCAAACCATTCAATTGATATACGTGTTTTAGCCTAGTAGGTAAATGATCTCACAAAATCTCTATTACGAACAATTGTATTTGCATTTATCTCAATATGCCAAATATACAGTCAATGAGGCTCTCTAAGTAGTATAGTAGCAATAGCGCCACACATAGACTTGCATCCATGTATGATTACTCAAGTTTACACTTTTCCATCCGTACACTTAACGAAAGTGTTTAGCATCCAAATGTGGTTGGGGATTATATCATTATCCAACTGGACAAAGCCATATATAATGTTACGGTGGTAGTGATTTACAACAACCATCAAAACAAATTGCCTATTTTACTTGTTGCACTTGTAACATGCATCAAACGCCATGACATTGATGTGCAAATCAAAGTTATAATCCTAGGATGTCCTAGGATTGTATTCCATAAGCTATTTTCCCCTCTTTATTCCTCTAAAATTACTGTCGTGGCCACCACCCCTTCTGAAAGACGATGCAAAAAATCAATGTCATTACTGCGTTTCGAACCATACATGCATACACATAGGCATAAAAAATAAAGAATACATATAGGACATCAAAAATCACAAGCATCAACACAAGCATAACATGAAATCATAGAATCAATACATGCAACGATAAATGAGTTCACATCCTCATATAATCAATTTGGAACTAGAGACATAGAAGAGAATGAGGCTACCATCATCGATTATGAAAGCATCCCTTTAGTTGCACCTTCTCCTACGAAAGCTAAGCTCTTAGTCAAGCAGAGTACACAGAAGTTTGAATGTAGTGGTGCAACCTACTGAACTAATGTGTCTAGCCCTCTAATTATAAGGGTAAAACTTGGCCAAAACCCTTCTAAGCCGACCATGACAAGGTTTCTTTGACTTAGGGTAGAAGTCATGGCCTACGATCATGTTTTGTGCTTGGGTCTGAATCCCTTTTCTTCTTGGGTTGACCTTCTTGGCCCATGTTTTGATTAGGTCTCCATGAGAGAAAGTTGGACGAGTTGTTGGGCTGCCGCTAGTATGTACTTCTTCTTAATGCAAGTTTCCCTCTATTGGGCTTATCTCGGTCTCACATTGTGGTTACGATAGGCTTCTCCGTCATTGGACACCGCTTTTATCTTGAAAACTCCATGTTCTTCTATTAATAGCTCCTTTGGTCCTTTAGAGTTGTCTAGCGGTGGATAGTTCTTTTAGAAATCTTCCCTTATTGGTTGAGCAATAGCTTAGAAGCACCAATGCCTCAACTCGTGTGGAGGGTCAATGAAGTTATGGAGTGTCGGAAGCTCTATCTGTGCCCAACTAATAAGGGTAAAGCTATAATGAGCTCTCTACTCAAGAAAAGGAGAAAAATAGTTGTTTGCAAGAGAAGAAAATTTGAAAAAGATTAAAAAAAATTGGTGTATGTGAAGGAAAAAGTGTTTAAGGGTATGTCAAGTTGATGGTAGAAGCATTCAAAGTTCAAAATTGTTAATCAAAAGCTTTACCCTTTTGTTTTGAGACTCTAATGCATGATTAGTTGTTTATGCTTGGCTTGGCTTGGATTGCATGTTGTTCATGCATATTGATGTGTTTAGGATTCTTTCGTGCTATTTTTGACCTTATAAGTTATTTTTACCCACTAAATAAGATCGAGATTGAGTGATTGTCTCTAGTGTTCATTGAATTGTATGATTGGGAGTAGTGTTTGCTTGAGGACAAGCAAAGTTCAAGTGTGGGGTATTTCTTATGAAACTTTATTTATGGTGTTTATCACTCCCATATTTAATACATTTCCCCTTCTATCAATGCATCTTTTAAGTGGTTTTGATTATATTTCATATAGAATTTATAACTATTTGGATAATGAGCTTATGATAGACCTCAAGGGTGTTTTTCTACTATTTGATACATTTTTTGTATTGATTTGTGCTTTTCAAGGATATAATGCACTCACGACGAATATGAATCACCAAGACACCCAGTGGATCAAAAGGAGGTTGAGAATACAAGCTCATGAATTCAAACCCAGTTAGTTATGACACCAGAAGCTCAAGTTATGGAGGAGATGATTGTATTTTGAAGAGCATATGGGTCAAATGAAGTTTAAACGAGTTGAAATTTTAGAAGCAGGCCCATGAGCCCCGGAGGAAATTGCCCACCAAAAATGGGAAGACTTGGATGCAAGCTCCCCAAGAACTTTCTAAAGAACCTACTTCGTCCACAAGTTTAAGGAAACCGAGTCAAGTCGTATAATGAAGGATTTGGTAGACTTTTTAGGAGGAAAAGGACTAGAACCCCCCCCAATTTTATGTAACTGGTATAAATAAGAGGCTAGGCTAGGCTAAAGCTTAACACCACCTTTTACCGACACTTTGCCCTAGGGTGCTTGATCGCATGAGTAGAAAATCCATAGAGAGGAGGAGAATTTCTGCTAAAATTTGATTGAGAAACATCCACCATTGATGTTGTTTTACTTCTATATGTGTAGCTAGTCGATATGTTTAGGGATGTGAATTCTATGTTGCTTTATGTATTACTTTCAATGATTAAAGGACGATTGCTATTATGTTCAATGTCTTTATCATCGATGTTTGAGTTTATTTATGATTGTATCATCTATTTCTCATTCATTCGATGTGAAAGTTATTGATTGCTTTAGTTGTTCTATGTGTGTGACTCATATTGTATACCACTATATCATTGTGCTTAGTGTTATCTAGGTTGTCAAGAATGCCATCTTGTGATACCCCATTGATGTAGTCATGTATGAGAGGAGTAATTAACCATCCATGCATTATTAATGTTGGATTCTTAGGTTGTTGATGCTATAGATCATTGATTATGGCTCTTATAGGCCCACTTAATCATCTGTTATCCTAACTTTCTTGTTCATTATTGATTAGGTGATGACATGAAACAAAAACAAGCATTAGCTAGTCAAATTTGTACCATAAGAGGCGCATACACAGGTAGAGAGTGGCCTTAGAGGAAGGTATAGGGCATCATAATTGATGATGCATAGAAGTATCTCATTGATGAGTTAGTATGCATGGTCATCTAAAAATCACTAGCTAAACATTATCTATCATGAACGTGATCGAGATGACATTGGGTCAAGGAATCGCTCTAGCAGGGGGGCTAGTTGCATGACTATTGGGCTAGTCCCCACTTTAGCGAGTCCCACACCTTATTTTCTCAAACCCGACATGATGATCCATTTGCAGGATAGACCTAAATTTAGGGTAAGGGCAATACCCTTATGTACCTAATATTATCTTTGCTTTCTTCACCATTACGTTCCATTTGACCTCTAAAATAACCCTAAATCGAATGACTAGATAACAACAAAGTGAGAAGTCGCCTCAGAGTATCAAAACCCTTGGAATACCACCTTGGTCAGCCACTATATTAACAATGCCATCTTGAGTTATACTTGGCTCAAGATAGGTTAATTAATACAAGTTGTGTCATCGATTCAATAACCCGCACATGGGTCACACCATTGTCATAAGTTGAAAATTTTGCACCAAATGTAACACCTATTTAAGGGATACAATGATTTCCGCCAATGAGTAGCTCAAATAGCAACTGTCAAAGTTTCGTCTTAATTTTTTGTTTATATATAGGGTAATGTCTATTTTTATCCAAATATTTTTCAGATTCTTTTATATTATCCAAAAACCTATCGAAATACTAAGAATTAGCCAAATGTTAACTTTCCGTTAGCAATTTTGTTAGTAATATTGACTTGGTAACATGATACTAACTTGGAAGAGACACATGAATGTCAACATTCCAAAATTTTATTATTTCAACTAAGAAAATATTTACAAAATTATTAACGATAACGTAAAAATGACTAATATTTTGATGCATTACGAAAGATTTGGCTAATTAATAGCATTTTAATAGGTTTGGATAATATAAAAGAATGTGAAAAAGGTTTGGATAAAAAAATAAACATTACCCTTATATATATAGTAGTTTATCTTGTTTTTGTTTTTGCTATCCCACTTTGTACGTCACGGGTGTTTAACACTATACTACAACCTCAATGTCTCGTGTCCGGGGGCCAAAGATTTGCAGTTGCTATCCGGTATCCTTATCTTCAAGGTTATGAAATAATCGGAGCATGATTTCTATGATCAATACCAACTTTCAATTTCTGGGGGCTAAGGTGGAGATACATCATCGTCATCTAGAGAACTTCCTTGCTCTCGTTGATGGGATCAATGAGGATGAAACAATTAGGGAAGCAATTTGTCTCCGAATTTTGCCATTCTCACTTGAGGAGGATATCATTCTATAACTTCATGGGAAGAGCTTGGCAAAAAGTTTCTTAATAGGTGTTACACACCCCTTCCAAGACTACTCAGATGAGGGCCATCATATATGCATTCAAGCAAGGAAAGCAAGAGAACCTTGGGAAAGCCTGGGAGTGTTTTAATTATTTGCTTTTTGAATGCCCTCATTATGGAATTGATGATTGGAGGAAGTGGAAACTGATGGGTGAAAGCTTTAAATTTATAAGTCGAAGCGCACTCACTAGTCAATCCTAACAAGGCCAAGTATAATCTAGCTAGGGATGTAGTAAAGCAGCTCGGTCATATTCAAGGGTCACGGTATCCTAAACTACTTAGACTCGATCATTATCTAGTCAACCTGTTGTTGGCAGGTGGGCAGTTGACGATTCCTAAACTAAAGATTAATAGAAAAGAAGAGGTACTCGGGGTATTCCCTTACCCTAGCCTATGTCTACTATGCAATGTCTAAATAAATAGGTTTATCGAATGTGGTGAGTGAGCTCTTTTCCGTGGGCTTTCGTGGCTATCCACATGCCTCCGAATACGCCTCCCCTAAACCCATGTTAGACACCTCGATCTAGGCTATCACATCTGGGGCATTAAGCACATAACTCTTTTCAATGGGTACTACCCACCGTCCACACCGAGGTTTTATCCCGGGTTCTATCTAGGAAGGCCTTCCTATGGCAGGGGTACGGTCGCCTCGTCCACCATAGGATCCTATTCATATATCTAACCTCAATTTGCTTGATGGCGCATACCCGTCTAACCCTATAACTCCATACCCAGTGTAGAAGCTCAAGTAGGCTAGTAGAGAAGATTAGGGAGACTTATCCAAACACAATCAAAGCTAGAGAATCAATGAAATTAACTAGATTAACACATTCATTCATTATAATACTAAAATATCTATTCATTACATAGCAACCCTGGAACTAGGGTTTAGGCATTTAAACCCCTAGTACCTTGGGAGATCACCCCATGTAGGGGAGAAGGAAAGACATACAAAGAGGGGAATAAATCATGAAGAAAGGGACTTCAAGAGATGTGGATCCTTCTTCTAGTTCTCATCCACTTCTTCTCGTTGTCTTCTTCTCCTTCCTTCAACTTCTCTCTCTATTCTTTCTCTAGAATTAGAAATCTGCCAAAAGCCACCTTCTAAGGGAGAAGGGGTTCCCTATTCATCGATCTCAGCAGACACAAGCAAGTTCCCGGGCTCTGGCTCAAAGATCGGGGTCGCAAACTTTGTTGCTTCGACCACGATCTTCTTCACGGTCAAAACTCAATGCAACCCGTGATTAGATTGGGGAAACTCTCTATTTCTCCTCGGTTGATACCTTCGCGAAGTTCGCACCTGACACCTCAAGGTTTGCGGGTGGGATCTTGGGCTCTTAGGCCGTGATCTTCTCCTTAAGTTTGCCGTCTGATTTCTCGGTTGTGATCTCCTCTTCTAGGCCACGATCATGAACCTTCCTGTCCTCTTTTTGCTACACTTGTGTCCTTTTTCATACCTGATTTGCATGTATTGTCTAACGCACCCTAAAATCACATCATAATCAAATAGGAACGAAATAGGGATGCAATTGACGCTATTCAAACGATTATGCACATGAATTAGCACGAAATAGACCTAAACATGAAGGGTAAATAACACCAATTTAGGTGTTATCAAACTCCCCCACACTTAGGTGTTTGCTTGTCCCCAGGAAAACCTACTCAAACTAATGCAACTTGATCAACAAATTAAGGCGGGATGCACTCTAGTTCTTCACTGCATAAAGAAGAGTAGACGATGATGAGAAAACGTTACTATAATCTTACGGTGCACGCACAAACTCCGTGGTGAGGACCATACTTACTACCTTAGGATCAACATACAATGTGTGCACCCCCTTCTCAACAACCATTAAGCATAGTAACTCTAGAGGGTGCTCTTTATTCTTTCTTTCGATTTAGGAGTTTTCATTTATTGGTCTCCTTTTTTCACGTTGACGCGCATTGTACCAATCTTTTGCAAACTTTCTTGCAAGTAAGCATCTCTCCCTCACGAGGATTAGTCCACGCCCAAAAGTTGACTGTCCCGAAAAATTTTATCCCCTTGTCAACCCCTTTGAGCCGTATGACTTTGTGTCGTTCTCATTTTAAGAGCTTGTTGCTTTTTTTTTTAGCTTAATGGTGATTGATAGAACGATCATTTTCTTTTCTTCATGTCTAAACCGTTGTGAGTCATCCTTGTGTCTCGGAGTTCTCGCTTTTGAGCTCCATTGAGGTTCTACATATGTGGGTTTTGCACGGTTCTTGCTAGGAATGAAAAGGTAGTGTTGGAGGAAAGATCTTAATAGAGAGCATTGTTCGTTAAATGTAAAAATGGCATGTTTTTAGCTCTCTAGTACCCCCCCCCCCCACCCTCTCGAAAAAAGAAGGAAAGTAGAAAAAGGAATAAAAAAAGAGGAAATAATAGGGGTAAATAAGAGATAGAGAGTTGCCACAAAATGTTGAAGTGTATGCTCTAAGAAAGGGTTTCTTGGCACTCAAGCCATTGAAACACCTAAGAAAGTGTATGCTCTAAGAAATTGTTTTTTGACCTCCTTCACTGCTTTGATTGAATAGTGGATAGCAAGATAAGCCAAAGAAGTGTGCTTGAATGTAGTTCGTGATTGGTAATGGTTTGGAAGAAGGGAAGTGTGGTTTTTGGTCGATGCTAGTGGACATTTTTTGTAGGGAAGGTTCAAGTCGAAACCATAGAACCTTGTGTCTTAGGTTGAAGATGTAGAACCTCATGATTTGTTTGCCACCACCCAAAATGCATTTTCCCCATGTCCAAGACAAATGCCAATCATTTGAACCAGTGTCTAAGACCTCCGGACAAGTTAGTGACGACAACCATCCCATGAACTCTTGCATTTAGAGGTTGTCGTCGTAGTGGAGAAACGATAGGGTTGAGTATTGATGATTGTGCACATCTTTTGCACCAAAAGTTCCTGACCCCACTAGTTGAGAGTGAGTGATTCATCCTCATTTTGCATGTTCATATCTTATCCCGGTGAGGACCTATGTTGCCCATTCGTTTGTTCCTTGGACTTGAGTTCTTTGCATGGTTAGTTGTGGTTGGTGAGTAGTCCGCTCGAGACTTCTTTGATATGTACACATTGTGCGAACTTTTCGTTTGCACGTTCTTAATGCATTCAAATGTCGTTTGTGGTGGATACCAGTATTGCTTGTTACCATTCATGTGTTGAGGTTCAATAGCCATTGATATTCACCCACTTTGAGCCCTTTGATACGTCCCCAAGTTATTTTGTTAGGTTGAAATATTACCTTGTTTGGAATTGGTTTGCTTGTGTCTAAGTGTGAGGGAGTGATTCGAGTCAAAATACACACATTTTGCCCCCTTTTCCTTAGATGTTTGAGGCGATTTCACCCAATGGGGTTTGGTTTTATGCTAGGTCGTACTTTGTTTTTCTATTTTTCAGATCCTAGTAGGTAAATCAACCCCGAGAATGAAAGTTGGATGCAAAGGAGTGAAAACGGGCCAAAAGGAGAGGGCAACGGCTGATCACGGTGAAAGCCATCAGTTCATGGCCTCCAAGACCATGAAGAATGAGCCCCGACCGTGAAGTGCAATAGTTCCATAAGGTTTTTGCACACCTCACTGGACCTCGACTGGTTCACGATCGTTGGACCGTGAACACTCGCCTTGGGCCGTGAAATGGTGCACCTTTGCCGAAGATCACTTCTTCTTCTTCAAGACTTCTAGAGAGAGAAAATGATGAGCAAGGAAGAAGAAGGAGGCTAGTATTTCATCCAAGCTCAAGGTTTTGGGAATATCCACCTTCAAGGTTGATACCCCACAAAAGGAAGAAAGCATTCATCTCCAAGATGGTTTTCTCTTCTCTCCTTTGTCTATTCCTTCTACCTAGCATGAAGTAGTCCTTTATTTCACTTGGGTTTTGTGAACCCTAGCTAGAAACATGTGAAAGTTTGTATGAATTGAATGATTTGTGTATGGTTGTGTTTTAATGCAAGTATTGAGGTTTTTTCATGGATGTTGTGTTGTGTTTTCCATTTCCAACTAGTTTGCCAATTTGACCCAGGTAGAGGAAAACTCCCTTCTTATGAAGAGGCTTTCAAAAGTTGGGTTTCCTTGGCCTAATTGAGTCACCTACCTAGGTAAAATTAGGGCACACCTCTTACTACGTTTAAACACCTTGTGTTGGTTGTGATTTAGCCGTCTGAACTTTGATTCGAGGGTGAAGCTTGGTAAGCCTTAGACGATTGGCTAAGAGAGTTACCTAGGTAAGATGACTTGTTTCCCTTGGCCGATTGGTTAAGAGAGTCACCTAGGTAGCTTGGCTTGTAGCCCCTTAGCCAATTTATCAAGAGAGTGAACCCGGTTCACTTGTTGCGCTTCCCTACGGTTAGCAACCACCTTCATAATGCACTTTCGTTCGGTATAACTCACATTTATAACTAGTTAGGGGGAACAACACCCAGGTGAAGCCTTATCAACTAGTGTTCACACCCTTTACTTTTCCAATCGCTTTAGTTTAAATCGTAGTTTCAACCAAAAACCAATTGCTAGATAATGTTTCAAACAATCGAAGTAGGGGTACATGGCCGGCTTGGGTCTGACTTTTAAAACATACTTGTTGTATATTGCACCCAATTAAGGTTTATATTGGGACTTTATTGGGATTTTTATTGTGGTATATAGGACGAGTCAGTATGCCTCTTTGGGTCGCGCAATCGAGTTGGGTTGGATGCACTCGAATAGGGGGTCCAATCTAGTTTAGAATTCTCCGCAGTAGAGGTATCGACTAAATCAATCTAGTGTAGTACTCAACATCGCTCCAATTGAGGAGCTAGGGGGATTCATGCATAAATGAGCACCCAACCTTGTAATTAACTAGGGCAGTGGTTAGAGTATCTTAGTTAGGATAGTTTCTTAATCGCTATTCTTGTTTGCCTAAATAACGAACTTAAGTTGAAGTAACAGTACATCTAGAGACATGTGGTTCGATAATTTGATTATTTTTCTTACCCTATACTACACTCGGTTATCGCTTATATTAGGCCTTCGATTGAGAAATTATAGTTAGGCCAAGTCAACATACTTACCTATTTTGAGGAAGTCGTGATCCTTCCGCGAGAATGAGAGTTCTGACTTAGGAGATCTGGCGACTAAATTTTAGGTTTACACCTTTACTCATCCTCCTTATGTTTATAAGGCAGTTGACTGAATTTGCAGAGGTGGTAGATATTGATGGAATTGGATATTCGAGAGGTGTTGGAGAAAACAAAGCAAAAGGAAGAAAGAAGCCCAATTCTAATGCTCAATTTTCACATTCAAACGACCCCAAAGTAAACAACAGTAAGATTTCTCATCTAAATGTTGGAGATTTGAATGAGGAATTTGATGAAGGAAAAACAAAGAAACCTCACTCTTCTCTCGTATTTTCCCAAAAATACCACCCTAAAACTAAATAATTCCAAAAATACCACTCTTATAGGAATAATTCCAATTATACAACCATTAAAAACAAATCGCAGGGCATGCCACAATTAAAATGCAAACCGTGGGGGGGGGGCACAGTTTGCGTTTCTGCCACCTATTTACCGCATGCGGATGTGGCGGTCAGTCTGCCAGATTGATCCATCTCGTTGGGAATCTACTTTACCCTCGGTCAACCCAGTTCGCGCCTGATAACACCAAAATTGGTGTTATTTACCCTACATACCGAGGCGTGTTTTGTGCCAAGTCATGTGCTTAAATGCTTTAACATCGTCAAACACATCCCTATTGCATTCCTATTTGATTTCGATGTGATTTTAGTGTGTATTAATCAACATGTGCGAATTAAGTACAAAACAAGGTCACAAGTGTAGAGAAGGGGCAGAAATTGTAGATCGTGGCCTAGAAGCCGAAGATCACTGCCGAGATCGCAAGCCGCAAAGTCCAGCTGGAGATCGCGGCCCAGAAGCCATAGATCGCGATCACGATCTTGGAGGCTCAGGACGCAAACTTCGCGAGGAATGAGCCTTGGAGAAATGGAGAGATATAAGCCAAGGCTCCAACTCCTGGACTTTAAAAATCAGAATCGCAGCAAAGAACAATTAGAAGCACAACAATCAGAATACGGATATAACCCAAACCAAATCCACTAGTCGGGAAGAGGGCCATGTATACGAAGGACTATTCAGCTAGGGTGATGAACTAGCAGAAAACGTCGGATTCCTCTTGCTGAATCGATTCCACGATCAAGAAAGAAGAAGAAGAGAAGTTGGTGTTTGAACAACCAATTCTAGGGTTTGTATTTCTGAATAAATTGTTGATTACCCTCTAATAGACTTAGTTCATTCCCTTATATAGGCTACAAAGGTTGTGGGCCAAAAATAACAAAGAAACCCAAGTTTAGGAGAAAAAGTCACTTAATCCGCAAAGAAAACAGGTCTGATACGTAGGGGGAAAATACTCGGTCGGAGTCAAAAATACCCGACCGGGTATTTTGCCGTGTCGGCCGGGGGGTATCCTGTCCAGGCACGAATACCTGGTCTCCTCCAAAAATACCTGATTGGGTATTTGTCAGTCTTGACTGGGACCCCTGCTAGTCATCACTCGAGCTGCCCTCCATATACCCAATCGGGTGTTTCCTCTTCTTGACGGGGTATTTTGCTTGGGGCGGCTCTGACACCAATAATGATCACCTCTCGTCCCTCAAACAAGTCAGCCTCTATCTTGGTGAAGTTCTGGGCCAAATAAGCTTGAAGTCGACCCCTGAATGCCTTGTCTTGACTTCTAGTGATCGGTCCACGCCCCTCTCGCACCAGAGTTGGACTTGAGGCCTCCTTGGTGTTGATGCCCTCATCATAGAGAGTCTCCATAGTCAAGTCACGGCCAACATTCATCTTTCACGTGAGGAAGATCGCGACCACGACGACTGTGTTTTGAGATCACGGCCCAGAGACCAAAAATCCTATTCGCGATCTCCTTACCTCAGGCCGCAAACTTTCTCGAATCCGGAATGCCTATAAATACAAGACCCATTTCCCCTTTTGATGAGAGCTGATTTTGACAGAAACTTTCTGGTTCTAGAGAGAGAAAAGAGAGAGAAGCTGGAGGAAGGAGAAGAGAAGGAGAAGAAGGAGGAGCTAGGAGCAAAGAGGCATCATCTTCAACCTCAAGTCTTCTTTTATTTCTACCATGTATCTTCTTCCTTCCTTTATGAAGTAGTCCTCTAAGGTACTAGGGGTTCTAAACCCTAAACCCTAGTTTTAGGGTTTACTATGTATGTATGGATATTTTAGGGTTTGAATGAATGTGTTTGTCTAGTTGATTTTAATGCCACTCTTTCCTAAATGATGACACTTGGTTAAGTCTCCTTAATCTTAACTCTTAGTCTACTTTATGCTACTACATTGGGTATGGAGTTCTATGGTTAGACGAGTATGCGCCATCTGGTGAGTTTAGGTTAGATGTGTGAATGGGGGCCTATAGTGGTCAAGGCGACCGAACCCCTGCTATAGGTAGCCTTCCTAGATGAAACCCGGTAAGAAATCTCAGTGTGGATGGTGGATAGTGTCCATTGAAATGAGCTATAAGCTTAATGCCCCAGATACGATAGCCTAGATCGAGGTGACTGGAACATGGGTTTAGGTGAGGCATACTCGGAGGCGTGTGGATAACCACGAAAGCCCACGAAAAAGAGCTCACTCACCACATTCTTTGACCCTAAGTATCTAGATATACTTAGTAACCCTAAGCTAGTGGGAGGGATAGTTCCCCGAAGTACCTGCTTTTAGCTTTGATCAATCTCTAAACTAGTGTTTCCTCAAAACCTCCACTAAGAACCTCAAAAATCGATTAACTAATTAGCAACTAGGTGGGAAGTAGGATAGGGTACCAGGACCCGAGAAGAATACGACATTGATTACCACTATATGGCAATGATGTTCTATGTTAAACTTGGCCTAGGACGGGATAGTTATTGATACGTGCTAACCTTTGACAATAACCTGCACGGATTCAAGTGATCAACACCTTTGTCCAAACGGTGGGTTGATCACCTTTCCTTCATACACTGGCTAGTAAGCTTCATCCGACAATGCAAAGAAACTCTTTCCATAGGAGCTCTTGAGTGAGTCGATATTGAAGAAAGGACTCACAAAGTGAAGGAGGGATTTGCTCTTGAACTTGATTATGGCCATGTCATGAAAACAAGACAATCCTCTCCCTTGATACTTCTGGAAGGAGCACTCCCCTTGTTTTGTCCTGAAGTTCACCTTGACTTCATGGCTATGCCCCCACGTCTACCATCCTCCCAATGACCAGTCTCGACTGAATACTCTCCAGCATCTCGGTTCGTGATGGTGGCCCTATGCCTACTGCTCTTGTGTTTGTATTTGTACATTATTTTTTTGGCTTTATCAGAGTGGACCTTTCTTTGTGCCTCCTTTGACATTGCCCGATGGATTCGATTGACGAACCATCTGTTTGTTCTCCGAAATGTCATATCAACAATGGTAGAGATTAGCACACGAACAACCTTGTAGACGGAGGTGATACTCTCACTTGAGTTCGTTGTGGCAATACCCCACCTAATAACTCCGTCCTTATGAAAAGTCCACATGGATAGGTCATGTCCATGAAGCCACTACGCACCTTCAGGGCATAGCTAACGGATCTTCTGCAACTTCTCCTTGAATTTATTCTCTTGATAGGCAATAGGTGAGGGACATATAGAAGCGTATGTTAACATCTATGTACAATGATCTGAGCCTAACATAACTTGACAAGGAAAAAGAACAGCTTACCACTCCACCACAAATTATCAGCAAGCTTCCTACGCTTGAAATGATGGTTCCAATTGCTCTTCAAGTGTCATATGCACCACCTCTAGGACCACTTCCACGTTGGATCCAAGAGTAACTTTTCCCTACTCTCTGCCCGATCGCTCCAAAACGTCCCAAAACTCGCTCCTTCGCAACCATTCATGTACTAGGACCTGAAACATCATAAACCAACACAACCTAGCGTAAAATAGGCCACAAGAGCGTGAAAGCAAGCTCAAATGATCAAGAAATGACAGGAAAACCATGCCCAAATATGGTGTTATCATGATGTGAACAAATAAATACCTAATTGAATTATAACTTTGCACAAGTGAACAACAAAAAAGGTAACCATTTGGTTGGGAAGCAATATCTTTGTGATATTTACCCACAAAGTCGACAAATGAAAATGTCTCGCTTATCTCCTCCTTAAGCAATAAGTCTAGACCCAGTTTCTGCAAATGACAACGTCCCGCTCATCTCCTCCTTAAACAATATTTAACCACAAAGTTGGCAAAAGAAAAACAACTAACAACTAAGCAATAAGTCTAGTTTGGAGAAGAACAAAACAAGAAGCAAACCAGTTTCTGCGTCCTTGCATCATATTCTTTGTTACGAGTTCCTGGTATGGAGTCCCATATTCCAATTTATTTGGTTTCCAAGATAAAGACCGCCAAATAGAAGTGGGTGACCGCGAGGTTGAAAACCGGGACATAAATCTGAAATAATGCACAAACAAATAATAATTATCAATTTATCATAGGAGGGATTACAGTATACCTTATTGCAGTAAAGTAGCTCATTTTTATGGTATCACTCAAGTATCTCATATTTACCCATGATACCCATAAATTGCTCCTTGTTGCAATAAAACGCACGATCATGGAAAGGAAAAATAGTTAACCAAACCAGCTATATGTAACAAACGAATAGATCATTTCCTTGCCAAGAATATTCCAACAGATGATTGTACCGAAACTGAAGGTGGAAAGAACCAAGACAAGCCACCACTGTGACCACTTATTCGTTCTTCTAGTGTCTTGCACATACACACCATTTCTATAATCTAATGCATCATCATCACAAATACCAAAGTCAGCATTACGAGTTCAATCTACTCAATTACACACATAAAAGAACTCACCCTTGTTGTAATTTTGTCATGTGAAAAAAGTTGGACCAAATCCTCACGAAGCCAGGAAAGAGCCTCGCCATCAAGACTAACATACACGTAAATGTTATACAAGAACAAGTTCAAACACCACAACATTAGAATTAGGCAAATAAGAAATACATCCTAAAAATATGATCCAATCTTACTTATAATGATTTCGGGAGGTACATTTCGGGAAGCTCACTACTAAATGCAAATTGAATCATATTTAGTGCCTCTTGAGTCAGTGGTGTCCTAACAGTAAAGGGATGAGCAAGTTACAAAAATGGTGTTTTCTTAGCTTTGGGATTTGCTCTTTCGAATGGAGAGACTACAAACAAGCTAGGCTTCAATTTAGATACACTACGTAGTGTAACATCCCGTTCCGGCAAAACCCATATGTTGATCGCTAGAAAGTTCGCGATTTAAAATCGAGCGTTTTGATAGTATTTCAGCGAAAAGCGGATTATCGATCGATCGGATAAGTATACGTATTAATTATATATATATATATATATATTAATTAAGCGGCCGGCATATATATTAATCCTCCCCCCCCCCTGTCCATTATCATCTTCTTCTTCCGTAAATAATTCCTGGACCGAGAAAACCAACCGCGCACAGGGCATCGAGGGGGAAAACCTCAGAGCTCAATTCTTGAGCATAAGTGATCCAAAAATCCCGTAAGTAATGCCTAATTCATCTATTAATCGTGATTTATCAATTTAGAGCTTTAAAACGAGTTTTTGGTTCAGGAATTTCTTGAATTCCCGATCTGCCAAATTAGGGTTTCGGAGTATCCGGAAGCCGGATTGAGCCCGAATTTCATATACGAGCTTCCTGCAGCGAGGTAATCAATCCTCTAGTTCTAATCCCTGAATTTCGGCTATTATTTAGGCCGGGGTCCAAACCGCTGAATTAAGCTCCGACCAGGGTTTGATGTGTTTTTATCGAGAGTTTGGCCTGGAGCCCAGAACTAATATTGACGGGGATACTGCAGGGGATATTAGGACGGTCTCGGATTTTAATTCGGGGTTCGTTCGTGAAATTGACATTTTAGTACGGGAGGCTAGAACCGGTGTTTGAACGACCAGAACTGGTGAGGGATTAGCACGGCATACCGGGTTTGTCGTATCACGATAATTATTTTGATACTTAGAATTGACCTAGGTGAACTAGAATGGCATGATTGGGGGTGTATGGACTTTTGTGTTATATGATGAACCCTGGACTGTTGTATGATATTATTGATTTGCCCTAGCCGATATGGACCTTGTTTATGTTGATGATTGCATACATGTTGCCAATTGTGGCTTAACCGTTGTTATGAATTCATGGTTGTTCGATCAGGTGTTTTGATATGATGTGATATTGTGGTTGTATTTGGATTCACAAGTGGGGGAAATAAACTTCCCAAGGTGATATTATGATGTTTTAAGGAGGATGACTTGCACGAGGGTTTATCCCGAGGAAGTGCAATTATACGACTCCTGATTTACCTATGTTGAGCCAATTGTGGCCTGGTCAAGTACATGTGCAAGTAACGAATTATGATTAAGCAAGATGAGATATGAATCATGTATAAGGATACCAAATATGAGTGTTGTGGTCTCACGGTCAACAACATAGTAATTAGGGCTCCCTATGCTATTACTCTATTATGATATGTATGATAGTCACACCTCTCATGTGGTGGTGACTGAAGAATTCTTATGAGATATGACCACACCCAGAGTGGTGTTGGGGTATGACTACACCCATAGTGGTGTGGGGTATGTATGACCACATCCGACGGGATGTTGGGGTATGTATGACTACATCCGACGGGATGTGGGGTATGTTTCCCGGGAGAGTTATTAGCATGGGAGTAGCCAGGCGCCTATAAGTAAAACATGATAAGATGCATATGCATAAGTCAAGGTGGTTGAGTCTTTTGCTTATTGGGATATGAGGATGGCTGAGGTCCGATCCTAGTGTTTTGGCTTGTTTGCTAGATGTATGGTAGTGGTATGCTATGTTATGAACTCACGATGCTATGATTATCTCACTCAGCTATGAGCTGACCCTCTTTTATTCTTCTTCTCTGCTTATGCTATGTGTAAGCAGATCATCATCATCAGCAACAGTAGATAGGTGTATAGGTGGGAGCTGAGCAAGAGTTGAAGGCAAGATGAGGTATGGTCTTCAACCATTCTGTGCTTGGACTACTACTCGGGATTTTGGCCAGTGATCCACACCCTTTTTGTAAAAATGTTTTGAGAACGTTTTTCATATGCATACTAGCTTCTGATGTAGTGTGAGATATCCACAGGTGTGGAAAGTTAATGATATGTGTATATTTATGTGGTTGTGTAAGTTGTGACGATTATGGTATGTATAAGTTTGGTATGCAGTTGTGTAGTATGAAAATGTGACTATGGCTATGTAAGTCCATGTATAAGGTTTGAGTATATATGTTTGTGATGAATTATTTTGCAGGACAAGTTGCAAGAACTGTTAGCCCATTACGCGAGTAATTCATGTCGAAATTTTATTTGGGTAAATTTTGATAATTAATGTAGCACCCGAGATTGATTCCGCTGCAATTGTGTGAACAATATGATTAGGCAAAACGTATAGGGTAGGGTGTTACACGTAGTCCACCTCAATTTTACCCCTTTATTGTTCAAAGACATAAAAACAAAAGCAGTCCATTAGTAACCACATCATAAGGAAAAAAATAATATTAGAAAATTAAATCAAGTGTAATACCTTCCCAGTCTTGGCACAACCATCAGTAGGAGCTACACTTTCATCACTCAAAAGTATGAATTTCTCAACTTTATACGCTTTCACCTGCTTGCAAGGAACCATTTTCGCAACTTTGACCGAAGGAGATTCAGAATAGCGGTCATATGAAAGGCCATCTCTAATTTTTGCCTTAGCATCTTCCGAAATCTTGACACCTAACCCTTGAGTCTTGACACATTTGAAGGTAGGCGGAATGGGCTTACTTGGTTTTTCAACCTCATCCTTCTGATTGTCCTCTTCCCTTCTGGTAGGTTGTTCCATTGACAACAAGTCACTTGTAGATGCTTTCACCTTTTCAGCATCATCCTTCTGATCGTCCTTTTTCACTTCAGCAAAATTCTCCATTGACAACGCGTCAACTCTAGTTGCTTTCACTACTTCTATGATTGACTTCACTGCAGCATCAATGTCGTCTCTAAATGTTCGAAATTCTTTCTCCATATCCATAACCCGACCCATTATATCACATCTCTTCAAGCAACATTACCCACTGCGACTTTAAATTCTTCTCCGAAGTCTTTAAATCTAGCATCCATCTTGCTAAAACGAGCATCAATACGCTCACAAAGAAGCAGCTCGTCCCTGTCATTTTGTGTCGTTTCCTTGGAGATGATTGCAAACCTGCATCCTCGGATGATCTTTTCCCAGAACTTCTTGAAACCTATAAATTAATTAAAAAGAGAATAAAATATACCATTAGCATGCTCCAACTCATCAAAAGAATCAAATATACCATTTTGCACTGTCAGCTAATAATGCTTACCATTTTCATTGACAATAAGTCTATATCTTTGTTCCCCCAACTCATCAAAGGCAAACTTGTATCAATGGTGTGGAACATACCATTTGCATGCTCCAAGAATATTAACTACAAAACAAAAAAGATATATTCAACATGATGACTAATCATTATGAATATGTAAAAAGTACGGTTAAGTAAGTATTTAGCCCCAAAAATAGCAAGCAACCAAGTATATATTTTTTCCTCGAAGCATTATGGCTGCAGATGGATTTCATCAAGTGATTGAAGCAATAGGACGCCCAATTCTTCTTCGTAATGTCTGCCACAACGGAGACAATGTATTCCGAAGATTAGGAAATATCATCTCTTCTGGTAGGTACTAATAGCACCCCCATTATGTACAATATAACATATTGCACACATATATCGCTGCTATCTTTTGAATCCCCCAACGTCTTTCGCATTACACTTGTGCAAATCGCCAATCGGCCACAATCAAGAGTCGAATAAACTCTAAATGTCAAGTTCCTCAGATCTCCCTACCACTTCTTCACCATCCAAGACAATATCAGTCCCACCCTCTGATACACCCATAATTCACTCAAAATCTTTGGCCGAAATATTCACCTTCAACCCATGCGCTTGAATTGTGCTCTTTTTCAGATTAAAGCTCCTTATGAGTTCTTCCAACAACTCACGCTTTAGCATTTTGCCCTTGACTTCATGCATCCAACCAAAGCCACAACTGTTAATGACCTCTACTTGACATTCTTGTAACCTTGAGACTAGGGAGAATCCTTTCCTTGGAGAAAATTGTGCGCTAAAAAGGTGATGGCTCTTCGTCTTCATTATAAACAATATAAACAAATGCAAAATTAAAATACCAAAATGAAGATATAAGAAACTCATTGATTGACTAAACTGTTAATCACAAAACAAAGACTTTCATTAAGAAAGAAGCATAATAGTATATCTAACTGGTAGCACTGATGGAAACCACTCAAGTTCATAATGTACCAAAACTGAACCTAGCCACCAGAAATGAGTCAACAAAAAAGGATAATAAATTCTTTAAACTCCATCTGCATGCATCAAAGTCTACCAAAGAACCGCAAAGAGAGCACTAAGCACTCTGAAATTGAAACAGAAATCAACACAAACTCCACTGGCTGTGACAACTTATGGAAGACTGGCATAAGAACAACAACTAAAGACAAGCGCATCATGATTAGAGAATGCATTACTAAGATTCAATTACTAAAACCGGTTCTCAAGAGTTCAATTACTGTAGTAATTTATAGGCAGCTCACATCCATACTAACAATGCAAGTAACACTTGTTCTATCATCATTTCCCAAATAAACTCAGTGGAAACCAATGTTAGTGTTTCAGTGGAGAATGTTGAATGTATTATCTTCTAAAGACCTCTCCACAAACGAGGACAAATTTTAAGTCATGTCAAATATCATAGCAGCGTATCCAAAATCTTGCACCATCTTAATGACTTAAAATAGTTCATCATAAAAAGATCATGTGTTGTCTACATCCTAATACTTATATGGAGTGCACCCATGAAAGTCCATGCTGGAAGCTGCTTACCTAGCTTACTCTTTTTCCCCTAAAAGATTAAAATAAGGCAGCAGTACAAGCTCCATAAGGTAAATTCAATTTTTCATCAAGTTAGTTATCTCATAAACAAGTAAGAAGAGTCCACTATTAAATTAGTAACTAGTAGTTCATGTTCTTGATTCATACATTTGCTGGCAGAGGAGCTAACTGTAAGCAGAGAAGGAATAGATTGTTCCCAACAAAATCTACTCTATACCTAACACAAGGATGCTTCACATAGGGGTCAAATCATACAAAGGATGTTTCACGAAGCTACAAAATAGATTGTACCTAGCAAAATTTGTTCTAGAACAGATTACACAAATTAACAGAGTATCAATAGGGTTTGAGGTAGAATCCATAGAAAAAATAATTAGGTTGGGAAATCATGCAGTGCTGAGAAAATTAGAGGAACTATGAGGCAAATTTGGTTGCGAGAAAAGGGATCCAGATGAATAAGGAATGGAAGGGAAATGGATTGTGTATATAAAAGTTGAAAACAAACCCCAACCTTCTTCCAGCCTAACAAGTCCAAGACCACCAAATTACAGCTCATAGCAATTGCACAAAAGGGAATGTCTGTCATGTTCAACTACATATCACTGAATTATTTCACATCACCGAATTACAGTTCATAGCAACTACTATTATACTAATGGCTACTACTTCTACCTCCTAATGGTGCTGCTAACTTGTACTACTATTACTAACTCTTGATGTTGTTGTTCACTACTACTGCTACTAACTAATGTTGCTAGCTGCTAACTCTTGATCATGCTCTTACTAACTTTAAGTCATTTAGTGATAAAGTAAGTGAGAAACATTGGAGCGAAAATAAAGTTGAATTCAACCCAACCCTCTAAGTAATGGAATTGATTCAATCCATTTTAATTTGCAAACACACATATATATTTATAAACCACATCCTTCAGCATTATGTGTTAACCCCAAATTAAGCAACAATAACGCGAAGGAGGAAGAAGAGAAATAAAAATATACACTTAGCATTGTCTCTTTTGCCAAAAGAACCCTAGAAATCTCAGTAGCACAGAACAAAGTGTTAATTTCAATCCCAACAACACATAACAAAAGTACAAAGCTAAGGAAGCATGAAATTTCAATCCCAAAGCCCCGACTCCACAAAAAAATGTTCATAAACCTAAAACGAGCATTGAATTTCAATACCCCTACATAAATTTGTAAAATCTATGACATCCCCAATTTCTCAAACTTTGAAATCATAGAAATCGAATTTTGAATAAAATTGTAGAACTGATAGGCATACTAACTGGTTAATGCAAGTGTCAGAATAGAAGCGTGTAATCGATAATCCAAACCAACACGAACGAACAAAAATTTAACGTGGTTCACTAACACAATGTGTGCTAGCTAATCCACGGGCAGGGGGCACAAATTTCACTGATTTGAGGAGAGTACAAGTTACAAACCAAATTCCAAACGGACAAACTAAACAAACTAACCTGACTGACCTTACTACAGACTAGGGTGATGAAGAGTATTTATAGAACTCTTCTCCTAATCCCAAACAGAAAACCAAACACGTTTTCCCAAACATACAAGGAAAAGGTCAAACAAAGCCCAAACACAAACCCAAACTAAATAGGCCCAAACACAAAACAAACCCAAATCAAATTCAAGTCATATTCTAACAATCTCCACCTTGACTTGAATTCTCTCTCAAATACCAGATGTACCAGACGCAACCAAAGTTGCCAGATGTACCAGATGCAACCAAAGTTGCCAGATGTACCCAAACGCGATACATATCGCCAGACTCAAACGCGATCAAGATTTCCAGACATATCCAAATGCGATTCATATCGCCAGACCAAACGCGATGCAAGTCGCCAAACTCAGATGCAATCAAAATTGTCAGACGTACCAAACTTCTCCAAATCAGATGTACCAGAATCTCCCCTGCCTCCAAATGCCCCTAAGGGCAGTCAATAACTCAAACCATTTGGCAAGTCCAACCCATGCTCAGACTTGCCATTCAAAACTAGCTTGGTGCACTTATCACCAACAAAACATGTCAAAACAGAACCTTGTAGATTATACAAGGCACCACGCTTGACACCCTTCAAAATCACCTTAGAACCTTTGTAGACAAACAACACTCCACCTTCACCTTTGAAGCTGAAACCCTTGCTGTCGAGTAGACTCAAATATATCAGATTCTTAGTCATTGTTGGTTGAAGACTTTGTCATGTATAGACTTTCAAGCTTCAACCACAAACCCGCGGCAGTCTTCTCAGCAACAACCTCAGTGATGATGTCATCAGCTAAACAAAGCAAGATTGTAGAGTGAGCTTTCTCCTCCAAAGTAATCCACTCTTCTTCATCTATACTTTCCTTCTTCGATTTTCCAGACAATGGAGCCCACAAACCCTATTGTTTCAACAGTGCTTGCATCTTGATCTGCCACAAACTGAAACTGTTTCTTCCGATAAACTTCTCAATCTTCATACTGATAGCAACCATTCTTACTATCCAACAAACTCCAACCAAACTCCACAAAGCAAAACTTCAGTCCAGCGCCAAATTCCCAAAACCGCAACCAAAGGCTCTGATACCACTTGTCAGAACAGAAGCGTGCAATCGATAACCAAACCAACACGAACGAACACAAATTTAACTTGGTTCACTAACACAATGTGTGCTAGCTAATCCACGGGCATGGGGCACAAATTTCACTGATTTGAGGAGAGTACAGGTTTCAAACCAAATTCCAAACGGACAAACCAAACAAACTAACCTGACTGACCTTACTAAAGACTAGAGTGATGAAGAGTATTTATAGAACTCTTCTCCTAATCCCAAACAGAAAACCAAACATCTTTTCCTAAACATACAAGGAAAAGGTCAAACAAAGCCCAAACACAAAACAAACCCAAATCAAATTCAAGTCATATTCTAACAACAAGAAGAAGACTCAGTGTGTGTTGTAAGAGGAATGGAGAGACTCGGTGGTGACTAGTGATGCTGCGGTGGAGGAGGTTGAGGTTGCGAATGCTAGAAAGGACACTTGCGCTTCTTCTCCTCGTAGTTGCGACCGTTGAGGTATGGTCGTAGGAGATGCTCAGGTCAGGCGGAGATACGATCGAGGTAGGTCAGCGGTCTTCGTTTGCTATCGATGGGAAGAGGGAGAGGCAGTAGTGTACTGTGAGGCTCTATGCAGGGGAAAAGGGAGAGAGGGTTCAGGGCAATAGAGAGAGGTAATGGCGGCGACCGTTCTATGTGAGGCTCTATGCAGGCGAAACCGTTCTTTCTTTCTTCTTACAGCGTTGTTGTCGCCCTATTTCAGAAGCTGGATCAGCATTGCCGTCGCCGATGCTCAATACCTTCACTATCAAATAAGAGACGCGCCGAAATCCCAACGTGGAAGAGCAAAGTCCAGTCTATACAATCGTTGAGCTCAATCCCCTTTTCGCGAAATACAATAGACGAATATATGCAAAACCCTATTTCTTCCTTTACCAAGCATCTCACTCGCCATGGAACTGTTTCAGAATCCGACTCGCCATTGAACTGTTTCAGGATTCGGCTTGTTGTCACCCCCAGCTCGCCGCCTTCAATGTTGAAGAGAATTGGAAATCGACGGAGAAGTCGACTGCAACTGCTCAACCTCCTTTCTCATTTTCTATTATCAAACTTGTCAATTGGTGCAACCAATGCAGTCAAAATCGCGCTTTAAAACTTGAAAGCTTACGCTTTTACCTTTTTAGGTCGGAATGGGTTATGATTACTTGTTTTTTAGTAATCACAATGGCAACCTCTTTATATACCATTTGATTAATTATTTTTCCTTCTTTTTTAATCTTACGGTCAAGATTCTTTTAGGGTAATTTTGGAAATTAAAAGTGACCACACCTGATTATTCTATATAATCTACCTAACCCTAGTTCTATCCTCCCTCCAGCCAAACCCGTCGCAGTCGCCTCCACGTACCACTCCCGTCGCACCGCCGGCAGCAACCCCCCCCCCCTCGGTACCCTCTCTCTCTCTCTCCCCCCTTCCCCCTCATCTACTCAGAAATCATCGCCCCGCTGCTATCCATGGCGATCCCGATGTCGAAGGCGCTGATCTCTGTGCTACTCGCCCTGCTCTTTTTCGTGTCGTCTTTCACTTTCCTTTTATTGATTGGTAGTTTTCCATGTCGTAATTTCTACATTTGAGTGGTAGGTCGTCCTTGTATTGGTAGTTTTCGTAAATTGAGTGGTATAGATTGTTTATATTGGTAGTTTTTGTGTAATGGTATAAATTTATTTCCGCAATGATATTGATTGTTTATGGTATAGATTGTTTATATTGGTAGTTTTCGTGTAATGGTATAGATTTATTTCTACAATGGTAATGATTGTTTATGGTATAGATTGTTTATATTGGTAGTTTTCGTGTAATGGTATAGATTTATTTCTGCAATGGTATTGATGTTTTTCAAAGTGGTAGTGCTTGTCTAATGGATTGGTACTGATTTCGTTTTTTTTTTTTGCAGAAAGATTGAGAAAAATATGGAAAGGAAATCTGGCTGGAGATTACGGAAGTGAGAGAAAGAGAGAATTTTAATTAATAGATTTTTGTAACTATCTAAAATGTAATTTATTAAAAAATTAATTAATATAATTTATTTTTCCATACCCAATTTACCCTTAGTAACCACGGTGATTACTACTTTTGTAGTAATCACCGTAAATGCTTAGTAACCTGTCCCTTATAGGTCACCAAAACGCTTCTACGTAGAATCATGATTTTTCCTTACACATATTGTCAAAATTTACGCTTTAAAACTTAAAAACTTACGATTTTACGCTTATAGGTCATCCAACCGCTTCTAGGTAGAATCACGCTTTTGTCTGCATTGGGTGCAACAAGTAACCAATATCAAAATAAATAAAAAAACTAATTAATTTAACAAGATCCAATGACTCACAATATTTAACAAGATCCAATGGCTATAAACATGTTGATAAAGGTCTATATAGAAAAAAAAAACATGTTGATAAAGGCTCAAAACCCTAATTCCCCAAAAAGAATACAGCTTTTTTCGGTTTTAACTCTTTTCAGTTTCATTTCTTCTCTCTCTCCTCCCTCTATCTCTCTTAGGACGGCTACGCCGATCTGAATTTTCTCTGCGACCACTTCAGAGAGCGAAAGAAGAGACAGACTTCGCCGTCTCTTCTTCCCTTCTCAGGTAACTCCGCCCCCATCCCCGCTTTTCTCGGTCTCATGCTGTTGTTAGTTTACTCTTCATTTCGCTCTGATCGCTCTCTGTTTAGCCATCGAGAAAATCTTAGATCGACTTTGGCAGGGAATGAATCTGGTGATTTTGTGCCTGGGGTTTGGGTTATTGTGAGAATCGAGATCATCGGGAGCGGTTTTTGGGTCTTTTTTCTGAATCCAATTCCGCGTCCATATTTGTGGTTTGTTTGGGTATATTGCGATTGATTCGTTAACGTGCTTATCAACAGAATTAAGCTGATTTTTGAAGATACCATCGCATTCTGGTTGGGATCGTCTGCAAGAATTGGCCTTTACAGTGCGATTGTGGTAGATTCCAATGAAGAACGTTGAGCGTCTAGCCAATGTTGCTTTGGCAGGTTTGTGATAATTTGATGTGCTACTTCTCAGTCACTGCCCACTGAATTGATGATATAGGAATTGGTAGACAGATTGTCTGTTGACATGGTAAGTTGAGGCGTGTGATTGATAAGAGTTCTGGTACTAAGAATAGCTGGTGGTCGTACTAATTCAACACTGGGTTAAGTTTCTGTCATTTTTTTCTTCTTTTTTGTCTCCAGTCCCCTGCACCTTTAACCTGAACTCTGAAGATGTAGTAATTGGCTTCTGCTTGTTTTTGTGTGCCCCATTGTGACATATTTGTTATAGTTGGTTTAATATTTGAGCTCTATAATTTTCTTTCCTTGCTCTTGTTATCTGCAGCATGAAAGATGATTCACTCTTTTTTGTTCGGTCTCTTTGTTTATCAGGGGTGTATGGAAGCATAATTTTAGAGCAAGCACTTTTCATGATTGTTTTTCCCTAAGACTTTTATCTGTTTTTGTGACTGCAGGTTTAACATTAGCACCACTAGTCGTGAAAGTAGATCCGAATTTAAATGTCATCTTGACTGCATCGCTTGCAGTTTTTGTTGGTTGCTACAGATCTGTAAAGCCAACACCACCTACTGTAAGTTGAGAAGGACTTGTGTCTGCTGCTTTCTCTTATTCCTTTGACTCGATAATGTTCTTCGATCAATTATGAGCATCATTGTTATCTGCTTCACCTTTCAGGAAACAATGTCTAATGAGCATGCAATGCGCTTCCCTTTCGTCGGCAGTGCAATGCTGCTATCTCTATTCTTGCTCTTCAAGTTCCTTTCCAAGGACCTGGTTAATGCAGTCTTGACTTGCTACTTCTTTGTGCTTGGAATCATTGCACTTTCGTATGTTCTTACTTTTCAGGCTTGAGTAGAACATTTGTGAAATTTATATGGGTTTGAGTAATTGTATGTTCTGAAAAGTTTATATTTTATATTTCCAGGGCAACACTGTTACCAGCTATCAAACCTTATTTGCCTAAGGAATGGAACGACAAAGTGATCTCATGGCATGCTCCGTATTTTCGCTGTATGTGGGTTTTGTTTCTACTCGCCTTTTGGTTTCACCTGCATTTTCATGATGGCATTTCTTGATGGAGCTGTTTTTTGTTTGTTTGTTTGTTTGTTTGTTTATACAATCTATAAAATCATGGATTTTGAGCTGTTGAAATACTTGAATGTTTTACCAAAAACCTTAGTTGACTCTTTATCAATGGAACTACAGTTGAGTCAGTGGTGTTGCTTTTAGAAGATGAAATGATTTCTCGAATGTTTCAATGCACTGCTTCTCATTTGTGGTTCTGCATTACTGAAATATCTTGATTCTTGTTCTGAAATGTGTTTCCTTTTATGTAGCTTTAATAGGGTATTTTGGTGCCTTTGTTTGTATGCATATATCTCTATCTGTGTTATAAAAACCCTTGACATGGAGGTCATGTTGAACTGTGACCTTGAATGCTAATTCTTCTGTGATTGTTGACTTCCATGTCATGAGTACTGTTCTTTGTAAAGCTTTAGCATGTTCTAGCATTGCGGAGTTTTTATTTGATGGAGTTGATGTCTTGGTTCTACTATGCAGAATGATGTTTTACCTTACACCTTTTTTAAACAGCTCTGGAGATTGAGTTCACTAGGTCTCAGATAGTGGCTGCAATTCCTGGAACGTTCTTCTGTGCATGGTATGCATCAAAGAAGCACTGGCTGGCAAACAACATTTTGGGCTTGGCTTTCTGTATTCAGGTGTGCATTAGTCATGTTAATGTGATATGAGGGCCGCTTACGTTTATAGTTTATCTATTATGGCTTTCGCCTTAATAGTTTCAGGAGCTTTCATTTGTTTGTTTATATACTTCTACACTTTATGGAAAGATTGCATGCAAAGTTTGTCAAGGAACTAGTACTTTTGGTCCCACTGTACATATCGGATTGTCATTGAAGATACAAAATTTTCTTCTTACAGGGAATTGAAATGCTTTCCCTTGGTTCTTTTAAGACTGGTGCCATCCTCCTGGTAAGAAGTGTGACCTTGAATGCTAATTCCTCGGTGATTGTTGACTTCCATGTCATGAGTACTGTTCTTTGTAAAGCATGTTCGAGCATTCCAGAGTTTTTATTTAATGGAGTTGATCTGCTGATATCTGTTTTCTCGTGGGATATGGTGCTTTAAATGGCATGACTAAGTTTTTAGTATACAAGTATCTGACACAAGAAATTTGCATCTAACTGAATTCCATCTGCTTTGATCTATATTTGTGCCCAGCACTTCTGGTGAGATATGGAAATCATTATCATGCTTTAGACCCTTCTTGCTGGTCTGTTATCCAATGGATTTTGTTGCTTCAGACCTCTGAAAATGTCACAACTGAGTTGTAAAATTCAGTAAAGCTTATAAAGAAAAGTAAAAATTGTATGATACTTGCAAATTTCTATTGCTATTGTAAAAAGAATTTGCATTCGATCTCCCTTCATGTGGTCAGAACAATAAAAGTAACTATGTCACGATTGCTTGTTGCAGGCTGGACTTTTTGTGTATGATATTTTCTGGGTGTTCTTCACTCCAGTTATGGTTAGTGTGGCAAAATCTTTTGATGCTCCCATAAAGGTTAGTGTTCTAGATCTATATTGTTATCATCCAGATCCATTTGGATTATCAGTCTGATGGGGTACTTCTTTCTGACTTGATTTTTGTTTTATTATGCACAGCTCTTATTTCCAACAGCTGATGCTACCAGGCCTTATTCCATGCTTGGACTTGGTGACATTGTAATTCCTGGTTAGGGTTATTCCTTCATACTTTAGATGCAGATGCACATCAGTGACCGTCATTGTGTTTGTTGACAATACTACTAACTTTCCCACTAGTCCATTCTCGCAGCAGGATCTGTTCATGATCTGCTGCGCATAAACACTTGATATTTGTGATTGTCATGAAGTGAGCAAATTCTGCACGCTTTTCTTAATGTGGGCGTTTCTTCTTTCAGGAATCTTTGTAGCTCTTGCCTTGAGGTTTGATGTCTCAAGGGGCAAAAAGAACCAGTACTTTAAGAGTGCATTCCTCGGTTATGTTGTAGGATTGGTTCTTACCATCATTGTCATGAACTGGTTCAAAGCTGCTCAGGTTAGTCCCTGCCTGATTCTTTTTCCTCTGAAAAGATGCAAAGTTTACTTTAACTTCTTGTTTGATGAATCTGATTGTGTGAATTGGCTTTCTTTTGCTCCACCTTTCAGCCGGCGCTTCTGTATATTGTACCCTCTGTAATAGGATTCTTAGGCGCTCACGTCTTGTTTAATGGCGATATCAAGCCGGTTTGTCCCTCGCCTCTATTCCGGTCTTATTATTGATTTCTCATGACAATATGAGTCGGACTTAGTTGTTCCTAACCATATTCTATCTATTTTAAATGCTGCTTCAGTTGCTGGAGTTCGACGAGTCGAAGATGGGCGCTGAAGAACAAAGCAAAACTGACTCCGATAGCAAGAAGGTAGAGTGATTTTGGCAAGTATGAGAGCAGGGGCCTGCCTAGAAACACTCACCAGAAAACAAAAGAAACTCAGTGATATGGTAGTGCTACAGGAAGACATTTATTGTTAGTTTTGATAGAACGGGGAGAATAAAGTAAACTGTTCTAACTCCTGCAACTTACTGCCGTTCGGATTTTTGGGAATTGATTTCCTAAGCTTCCAGCTCCCCTATCTCATTTGCCATTGCATATTTCAGTAGTGCACTTACTCTTTACTCTTTAGTCCCCTGGCAAAGAGCAGTTTGCTCTTTTGGGCTTGCAACTGCCAAGAATTCTTTCTAGCTAGCGCCTGGATACGTCCCAAATTTCCACGCATCAGCCCTAGGTGTGGGCTGCAACTATCCGGTCTACTCCAGACCGAATTAGAACCAATTGGTATATTATATATAGACAAATTGAATGGGATTGAATATATTTTGCTTCGGCTTTGATATTGACTTGGACTGGAAGTCTACTGACCAAATGAATTGAATTGAATTTTGGTTTGGTTCTAGTCCTTAGTTTCTCTTTGATTTTGGTCTATTCAATCTGGTTCTAGACTGAATTAGTCGATACCCATTCATAATTATGTTCAAGGCGTATCAAAATTATGTTCAAGGCCGAGAGCCAAGTAATAGGAAACACATCATGGGTTGAGATCGGTGACTAAGGAGTCCTCCTAGTCACTTGATCAAGGGGCATTCTAGCATTTCATTTACATTTAAATCTAATGGATGAAATTAATTCATTGGCAATACTTATTGTTTTAGTTTATTTTTGTTACCTTTAAAGATTCCTTCTCAATTCTCCACATTAGTGTTGGGCATCGGTTCGGATCGGTTCAAACTGAGCCGAATAAGAGCATGCCAGGTCCCTAATATTACCAAGAATGGAAATTGAATTCAATTCGAATTATAATTTTGTTCGATTGGTCCGAACCTAATTATAATTGGGTACAGTTCAGAATTTCATACAAAATCGAATTTGTGAGGCTAGCTTGTGTCTTCTCCCTTCTAAATTATTTTCACCTCTAATGAAAACAATAAATATGGAATTATATGCATCATTAGTAATGAAATCAAACTTTTGTATAGATAAGTAATAAACCACTAACATGATACAAATTGAAGCCCCTGAAAATACTGCTAAGGGATGATTGGTCGTCCCTACCAGTTAAATATGTGACAGTTAGGCGTCCTCGAAAATACAAAGTAAGGGACAATTAGTCGTCCCCACAAGTGATACATGGGACAATTATTCTTTCCTGAAAAGTGCATAAGTGACTACTCATCGCCCCCTAATACACAAGTTAAGAGACAATTGTTTGTCCCCAAAAGTCATAAGTGACAACTTGTCGTCTCTAAAGATATAGTATAAGAGACCACTCGTAGTCTTGAATAAAGTTTTTGGTGACGAATTTTGGACTCCAAGTTAATACCAATAGGAACGACATGTCGACCCTATAAAAAGAAAAGGGGACGATATATTATCCCCATATGCCCAACAAAATCATGAAATAAATTATGCGGGACAACAACTTGTCTCGGAGAATGATGTTTAGGGGACAACTTATTGTCGTTACAGTTATAGCTATAAGGACGACATGTTGTCTTCCATGGAATAGAACGAGATGGCGACTTGCGAGTATCGGGGACGATTGTCGTCCCTAGTAATGGGGACGACCTAAATTTTTTTCGTCCCCAAAAGAATAGAGGATAAGAGTATAGGGAACCACACATTGGAGACGATTAGGTCATCCCAAAAACTATAGGGACAATTTTTCCTATTTCCGATTACGAGTTTTGTTGTCCCCAAACTTTTTTTTTTTTGGGTACTGGAACGAGGTTGATGCAGGAATATGAGAACTCCGATTGAGGTTGATTTAGGAACTTGCGGTTCCAGGCTTCTCTGTCTACATAGGTTGATGGCTATGGTTGTGTTGGAAGAAAGAAATGAAGGCAACTGAAGAGGAGGGACTAGGAGGGTGAATGGGAGAGGTTCCTCGGGGGACCCTCCTCACGTGATCAACGCGTGGTCTAGGGATATATGGGTATAATAACAACGTACAAGCATTTACAGTGCGCTAGACAATACATAAAGGGGTCGCTTTGAAGTTGTGATAGTTTTGTTGAGATTGTCATTATGTTTTTGTGATGTGACAGAAACTATCACTCATTTTGAGTGATTGTTATATCTCAACTTTTAGTTGTGATTGTTGAGATAGTTGAGTTGAGATTGTTTTGTCTCAGTTTTTAGCTGATGCGATATACACAATCACACATACCAAACGTTGTATTCTACAATGCATCAAATTCGACAATACATGTATAATATTATACATGCATTTTCAACAATACATCTATTTAACAATCGCAACTTACAAACGACCCCAAACATGATTTGGATAATATGATATTATTGCTCTATGAACCACTATTAAGGTTAAAAGAATGTTGAAGGTGACCAGGTGACCCATGATATGGTACAGATCTAAAATCAAGTAGAACATCTAGGTATATACATGACCATTGATTTACCAAGTTATGTGATTACGGGCTTATCTTTAATTCAAGAACTGTGCTAAATCCCTAGCTATAGTTGTCAGTTATATGTTCATTGAATTGATTAACATAGCTAGGAGGCAATTGGGTGAACTTAGGGTTGCTAACTAGTTATCCTGTTAGAGGTATAACCGATAATTGAACCGGTAATCTGCGGTTAGCAGTTACATCGATAACCAATTAACAATAAACGGTCAGTTACCGATATCCAAATTTAGCCAATCAGTGAGCGAGGTTAAACGATTAATAACTGACGATTAACAATTAATCGAGTAATCGATATGGTCATCCTCATAGTTAGGGCTTAAAATAATAGGCATGAATGAGCTGCAAGCATAAGGTGAAAATCATGAGATGTTTGAAGGCCTAAAAGACCCTCACCTACCATAACTATAATAATGACTTAGGTTTATATGTGAATAAATTTTGGGAAAGCAAGGCTCTAAAAGGAGCACAATAAAAAGACAGACGTATGAGATAACTCAGTTTTGTTGTACTTGGAAGAGTGTTGTTGCAATATGTCATATGAACGTTACTTAAATCTCATAAAGAATATTGCATTGGTTTTTTATAGCTCTCAAAACATGAATATTCGTTATTCTGAGGTGGCATCCTATAGTTTCCTGCTTTAACAACATGACATGTTTACCTGTTGGGTGATAAAAACTTTATGAGCAATCAACAACATTTAAATTTTCATGTTATTTGGCAGAGTTTATGAGTTGAGTAATTGTTGTTCGTTCTCTATTTTTGTGAGCTTGTTTAATCAAATTTGACGGTATAATAGTATTATTGTGTACTTGTGTTGGATAGTGTTGATTTTGATTTTTTATGTATGTCAATATAGTCAAAAGCGTGTTACTACATAAAAGAGTTATGGTGACCTAAAAGTGTAAAAGCGTAAGTTTTTAAGTTTTAAAGCACGTTCTTAACTACATCAGTTATAAAACGTGCGATTCTACGTAAAAGCATTTTGGTGACCTAAAAGTGTAAGATCTTGAATTTTTAACCTTTAAAGCGCAATTTTGACTAAATTGATCTATGTTATATTGTTTTTTTATTCAATTAAAAAAAACTAAAAAAGAGAACACATGCATGCATATGTAGGAAAAATCTACAAAATTGCACAATTGAAAAAAGAAACTTATGTTGGTTAGGTTACTTGGCGGTTATTTTAGTCAAACGTTGCCAAATCGCTTGCTTAATGGTTATCCGATTAGCCATTAACGAACTATACGGTTGCGGTTAATCGACTAATCTAAACAGTACAATTAACTATATATATATTGCTTAATGGTTAACTTGTAAATGACTAAACGCTTGTGGTTATAACCGAACCGAACCGGAGTGACTAACAACCAATACCATAATTGTCTCCGAAACAACAACTTTGATTACATACATAGAGGCAAAGCACATACGTACGTATATGCAGTAGTTGAAAACCTCCGCCTAATTGGCACGACCCTCTACCATATATACACAAACACTCAAAATCCTTTCCCTACCTAGCTTCGTCGTTGTCAAACTTTCCACACCAATTGAGAAGGAGGCTCACTGCAGATCTCTGGAGGCCGGTTCCCAGTTCCCTACTCGATCGTTCCCCACGTCGGCCACGGTGATGGAGGTGAAGCAGCAGTCGAGTCGAGTCAGACTGTAACGTTCCGTTACGTTCCCGCCTGGAGGTAGACTCTGTACATCAGGCAAAGATGGAGGACAGGCGGACGCTGGAGATGGAGCCCGCCAGGATCCGCTCCACTACGAGGGCTTTCCACCTTGGCTGTCATCACCTGCTACCGTGGAGTACGTGAGGCTGCTGGTGATCGGGCCGGACGACATGCTATTGCTGCTAGCTGTTGTACTTGGGGAACCGTCCGCTGGACAATATCCATGAGCTGGCTTTTGGGTATGGATGTAGTACTATTACCTAGCTAGCTACTCAAGTTGCTCTCTCTAAATATGTTTATGTGATTTGGATGCATTATCATTAATATTAGAAGAAGAAAATTTGTCTCCATAGTGAGGTGGATATATACCCTATTGCCTTAAAAGGAATCATGATCGATATCACTCAATCACCAATTTCTACATTCTCAAAGCGTATTCGAAAAAAATATTTGGAAAAGAAAGGGATATCGAGCAGCGCTATCTCGTTGAGAAAAAAGAAGAATTAAACAACCATATTTTTTAATGAATAAACAAAGTGTTTTTGTTTGTACTTAAAAAAATGTAAATTTAAAAGCCCAAGCAAACCATATTTTCTTTCCTAATTTCCTCCAAGGTTATGTTAGCATGCAAAAATCCGACAGTCTTTCCTTCTTTTTCTATTCATATTTTCGAGTGATATCAAGAGAAAGACAAGAGTTATACAAACAAAAATACACAGGAATCCCTTACAATTGATCGCTAGTGCAACCACCCCAGAAAATTGACAGACTCTAACTCTAAGAAAGACAAAAATAGTGCTTTACGCGCCACTCTATGGGCAACACTGTTGGCGACCCTAGAAACCGCCCTAAACTCTATACAAACTGACAAAGAGTCTAGGAATTGACAACACTCCCGGGACACCGATCCTCCAACAGAATCTTCTAGTACACCATGCCAGATCTGGTTAACGAGCACCTCATAGTCACCTTCCATCATCACGAGAGACAAGGACCTCAAAGCGACTAAGGAGATAACATCTCTCACTGCTAGGAGCTCTGCCAGGTAAGGGTCGGCTACTGCTCGGTGATGCAAACCGACTGCTACCACCACATGTCTGTCTGAGCCATGGACAACTAGACAAGCCGAGCATAGTGAGTCTCAAACAGCTTCATCGAAATTGAACTTCAAAAAGTCGACTGGTGGAGGCGTCCAAGCTGGTGGAGGAGGAAAGGGGAGGATTGACCTGGGGGTGGAGGAGGATGGACTAAACTAGAAACTTCTTGATAGAAACTAGTATTTAGTTATTTTGATTAATTATCGGATTAATGTTATTTCGGATTATTGGGACTATTTTGGGAATTGGGAAATAAATTATATGTCGGGTAGCAATAGGGAATTATCCAATTATTATATAAATTGCTTGTCAGTGGGATTAGGCCACTAAGCAAGATTAAACCTAAACCTAGTTGTTCAATTTCCCTCTCTCTCTTCCTCTGGCCGCCGAGCCCTCTTCTTCCCTTTTCCCCTCGGCTGCCGCGACAACACTCCTGCTTCCCTTTCTTCTCTTGATCAAACCCAAAATCCACTTCTCTTTCAATTTCCCCAATTCCCGGATCAATCCCAAGTTAATCCTAATCCCTAATCGTTTCGGTAGAGCTCGGAATCTAGTTCTATCAATTAGTATCAGAGCCAATCCTTCCTTTGGCTTGCATCATGGTGTCCACCAAGTCCCAAATGGCGGCTGAGAAAGCGGCCAAGGCTTCACAGGAACAAGCGGCAGCGGCCGTAGTCGGGCTGCCGGAGAACAACCAGGAAGCGCCACTAGAGGCTTCACCCATGTCTAGGGCTCCGCAAGGGCGGCCTCCCCTTCCTTCCCCACGCGGCCCGGTGGATGGTGAGCTGGAGGATTTGACGGAGAAGGAGGCGGCGCAAAACCGCCTCAACGACCTCGTGGACCTGGTAGTGAGCGAACGCCAGGAGCAGTTGGAGGAGTCCCGGTGGTTGTGGCGCCGGCTCGATGATCTCCATGCCATGATGGTGGCGATGCAAGGTGGGTGGCGACCGCCATCACAAGGTGTGGACGGCGGGTCGGCTGCGCGCATGGAGGCTGCAGCGCTCGGCACCGGCGGCGAGATCGGAGCGAGCGCGGCGCCGGCGGCGACATGCGCTAGTGATGGCGCCGGGGCGGCCGGGGGATCAGCGGGGTCGCGGGGAGTGGGGCGGCGTCAGCGGCAGCGCCGCTAGTGGCGTTTGAGGCGTTGATGGGTGGTGTGGGGGACCATGCGCCGGCTCGGGAGCGTGCGGGTCACGACACGCTAGGTCAAGGTGGCGGGCCTGGTCTTTTACCTACACCGTCGGCCCAAGAGATGGCGGCCCGGAAAGGAAAGGGCAAAATGCCCGGTATGACACGGAGGGGCCTCCGGAGTCTGTTGGGCCCGAGATGATGGGCCAGATCGCAAGAAGCACTAATGGGCTTGGATGGTTGAACCTGAAGGACGAGCCCGAGGAGGACGAGTTCGGTCTGATGGGTCGCCCAGCGCAGTGGGCCGACTCAGGGGTGAACCAGAGGAGTGGCGGACCAATCCAGGAAGCTGAACCGGTCGGGCGGGCTGGCCATGGGTGGACCATGACTGGTCGAACCGAAGGCAGGCGGACCGAATCGGGTTGGGCCACCAGTGGTCAGCCCGAGGTGGGTCGGACCGTGGCCGGGTGGACTAGTAGTGGTCGGCCCGAGGTGGGTCGGACCGGGCATCGACCAAACCCGACCAACCAGCCGCCTAGGGGAGCGGACAACAGAGGATCGACATGTTGAAGAGCTCCGTATGGGGCGCACGACGTTCCTGGGGGGACACCCGGACCAGCAAGGAGGCTACCATGGGTACTACGGCTCAGGAAATTTGAGCAGGGGCATGGATTTTCACAGGGGCAGCCATGGAGGGAACCGGGTAATGACAGGTATGGGTCGTGCTATCCTAACTATGAGGGTACTGATGGGATAGTATTTCGAGCAAAGCCTCCTACCATTGAGTTTCCAAAATTCAATGGGCAAGAGGATGCATGCCTCTTGTTATATGCAGCTGAGAGGTGGTTTCAGAACCACCAGATTCCTGTGGAAAGGAAGGCCTATCAGGCGTCCTTCTATTTAGAAGGTGACGCGCTTCAGTGGTGGGAGTGGATGGAGAGATCGTATGCGGCGGCCGCGACTTTGATCACCTGGGCCATGTTCCAGGAAGAGATCCGTTACCAGTTCGGAAAATCAGAAGGATGAGCTCCGGAGCAGCTCGCGCTGAAACAAACTGGCACGGTGGCTGACTACCGCGCAGAGTTCTTCAAGTTGGGTAACCAGTGCAAGGGAGTTCCGGAGGATACCCTGGTGGGGCTATGCATGGCGGGTCTCAAACCCGAGATAGCAGCGACAGTTAGAGTGTTCGAGCCGGGTTCTTTGAAGGCTGCTTTTCGTCTTGCAGGTCACAAGGAAGAAGAACTTGCCAGCTGGAGGAGTACCATTGGCCGTTACACGAGACCAAGTGAAGAGGGCGGCAGTAGTGGGATCGGAGGCAGCGGGGGAGGAGCAGCGGCGGGAAGCCCAGTAGGGGCGAGCGCCGGGAGTGAGAACACTGCACCAGTGACCAGGGGAGGGCCCCAGCCCATACCAAAAGGGTTCGTGCGGCTCTCTCCAGCCGAGATTGAGCAGAAGAGACGGGAGGACAAATGCTTCAATTGTGATGCCGATTCACCATTGGTCATCAATGCCCGAAGCCAGATTTGATGATGTTAGTGGGACAATGGGAAGACGAAGCAGAGGACGCGGCCGAGGACGTCGGAAATGGCGAGAAGGAGACCCAGCGAGTTAGAGACGCAACCTTGGGGACAAGGTTGTTTTCGAAGAAAGCGGGGATGATAGAAACTAGTATTTAGTTACTTTGATTAATTATCGGATTAATGTTATTTCGGATTATCGAGACTATTTCGGGATTTGGGAAATAAATTATATGTCGGGTAGCAATAGGGAATTATCTAATTATTATATAAATTGCTTGTCAGTGGGATTAGGCCACTAAGCAAGATTAAACCTAAACCTAGTAGTTCAATTTCCCTCTCTCTCTTCCTCTGGTCGCCGAGCCCTCTTCTTCCCTTTTCCCCTCGGCTGCCGCGACAACACTCTTGCTTCCCTTTCTTCTCTTGATCAAACCCAAAATCCACTTCTCTTTCCCTTTCCCCAATCCCCGGATTAATCCCTAGTTGTTCCTAATCCCTAATCGTTCGATAGAGCTCGGACTCGAGTTCTATCACTTCTAGAACCTGGTTGTAGAATTGTCTGGATAGGAACATACATGAGGTTGGTAGAATTCAAAGGTCACTTTATTTCTAGACTTCCAGATTCTCCAAAGTAAACATACGCATTGGAGAATGTGAAATGGGGAGATCTCACAGATCATGAAAACGTCACCACCATAGACAAAAGTTAACAGTCGGGGCGAAATCACTAAAGTTGCTCAATCCCACTAATGTTCACTACTAGGGGGAATCTAAAGAATAAGTGTTCAATGTTCTTTCTATGTCTCTAGCATACATGACATCTATTGAGGCAATTAACTCCAAGTGTAGGAATCTGGGAGCTCTCACTCACTATCAAGAATGCTGTAATTCTTTCTTAAAGTGACCATTTAATTTTGAGCAATCCATTGCTGGCCATTCTGTTCTAGTATCGAATTTTTTGGATGATTGGATTAATTAGGGCCTTGGGAGCATATTTATTTGCGGAAGCCCTTTGAATACGCCCCATTATGCTAGCGAAAGCAACAACCTTGAAAGGCTTTTGATGACTCGATATTTGCACATGTTTTTCCCTTTGTTTCTTGATCGTTTAAGCTTGCATTATCACTTCTTTGGCCTATTTTACGCAAGTTTCAAGTCAATCGGAGATCAATTGGCAACTCGGGGGACGAAACTCGGGCATGAACTGAAGAAGAATGAATTTCTACCTCACTTTGTGACCATAGAATCATGTAATCTTGTCATGAGATGAAAGAGGACGAGACTACGAGCGTCTGGGATCAAACGACACCTGATTTGGAGTCCAAACGAGGGAGAAACAAAAAATCAAAGATAGAGACCCGGAACTGCAAAATACCCTACCAAACCGGGTATTTTTGACCATCTGATAGGGTATTTTTGGCAGCATTAGAAGGCCCTCCGATCTTGAATCAAAAATACCCGACCGGGTATTTCCCTTTTGCCCAGAAAAGTGCACATTTTGTTAATACCCGACCGGTTCCCTAAATACCCGATCGGGTATTTGGACCGGGTTTCGCAAACGCAGGCTGCTAAAAGCTTGTTTTGTGCGTTTTTGGAGGGGGAGAGCTGGGTTTTGGATTCCAAACACCCAAGGGACAAACCAAAGAGAGAGATGGCGATTTGAGGGCAATCTTGGAGTGGAATTGGAGGATTTCTTCACCTTGGAAGCTCGAGGAACAAGCCTGGACTCGCAGACTGATCATCTGAAGATTCTTACTGCAGTCTCGCTCTTCTCTATGGAGTAACTTCCCTTCACTTAGGTTTTGAGGAACCCTAGCCGTGTTTGTTTGATTGGATGATTGTATGAGTACTCCTACTTGATAATCTTGAGTTCATATTCAATCTATGCATGTTTTCATGATTCAATTCTGCTTTAGTCGAGATAATTGATTTTGCTTTGATCTTATGAGAGCGATACCTGATTAGGTCTATAGAGCACCATAGATTGATAGTATTGGATTGATTGCTTTAGTCGAGGTTTGATTCATTGCTTTGTATCGATGGAGAACCTCATTCGATAGAGGGAATCTAGTTCAAAATGCCTTGATCGGGTGTTCTAGAGAAGGATACGTCACTCTAGGCAATTGATGATATGATCCAAATTGGCCACTTCTACGAGTCACAATTACTTGCCAAAGAAGCTATCGAAGTTGGGAAGAAGAAAGGCAGAATTTGGCAAAGTCAAAATCCGTGTTCAGGATACATACTTTGGAGGCATGGTTCTCTCAACTGGCTTGGTGGAAATTCAAGTTTAATGGTTTGTTTTACAGAAAAAGTTTCCATGTTTACAATGGTATGCTTTGTGGATCCAGAAGATGTGATTAAGGTTGTTTTCCAAGGCCTCAAAGTTGCTACCTCAAAACTGGAAAACTGCCAGAAAATGACCAAGGCAGAAAACTGTTTTGTGAAGCCTACTTTGGAACTTAATTCGAGGAATATGGATCTGATTCAAGCTCAAAGGCTTCTACAACATGAAACTAGGTATATTTGTGAACAAAGGGAAGGAATTGGATGAAGAATTGGAGTTCGGGAAGGCCTCGAACGAAAGGCGTGAAGTTAGTACGAAAGCTGCATTTTGACTGTTTGCTGGCAGCTTACTTGCACTTGAATAAAGAGTTTAAATCCGAATTTTGAGTCCTTTTTAGAGTAGATTTTTACCTTAATTGTTTCCTAGTTCTATTAGGGTTGTATTAGGTTTATTTGCCTTTAAATACCTTTCTACTTTCGTTGTAAAACTCAGACTTTGATTAATCGAAATTGAGAACCGTTTGGTTTGTGCAAGTTGCGACTTGTTTTGGGTTTGGTGGATTCCAAACTTGCTGAGCTTGTGTATCGATTGAATAGTCACTTCAATCGTGGTCGAGCAACTACCCTTTTATACCAATCGAGCTATCCCCAGGTGTGGATTTGTCCTTTTGGTTCCGTTTTATCCAAGTTCGTATTAAGAACGCTTCGTTCTTGATTCGAGCTCAATCGATTCTTCGATTGAGTCGTTAGCTGCGTGACTTTGAAAACATACACCCGTAGGGGCGTATCAAGTGGTATTAGAGCCCCGTTCAACGCAGGAGCAAGGAGGAGTTTGACAATTCTTTTTTTCAGTCTATTTTTCTTCGCTGGCAGAATACAGAGGAGTAGAGGAGTTCTCTGACAAGGAGATGATGGGAGAACAACAAATCAACGTCGAGGAGTTAAAGCAGATGGACATATCATCTTTCCAGCCCCAATTTGATCGGATACAGCGTGGGATCGACAAGCTGCAGACTGCCATAGATAATCGACTCTGCTTTCCTCCGGAAAAACAAAGGTCGTTTTTTGGTGCGGTCGATGTGAAGGAATCTATGGAAACATCAAGAGGATAGTCCACACTAGTCATTGGAAGGAGATGGAGAAAACCTTGGCTGCTCTAGTTCAAGCGATGATGGCTCAAGAAAACCAGCAGTCCGTCGGAGGCCAGCACCCCTGTCTTTCGCCGGGAAAACAGAGCTCTAATTGTGCAGACATAAACGACAAACTACAGAGCGTTTCGAAGGAAATAAATGCTTCAGATACATTCCAAACTACCCCAGGAATGATTTCCCTGGAAAGAATCGAGGCAATGAATCATCAAACAGCAAGTCCCAATTCTGCAGAAGCTCTTCTGCAAAAACCAGAGTTCGACTCCGAAAACGGGTATCTCGTCGGAAAGATTGAGCACGAGTCGAGCAAAACCAGCAAAGGGAATCAGTTTCTAGATGATTATGGAAAGTGTATGCAACTCGACAGCGACTTAAATCGGCCGGAAATCAAAACACCCAAAGTTCCGGAATTGCAAAATTCTGCAAAAACGTTCAAATTTCAGAATGGTGGGAACACTAAAATCGTCGATTCTTTGATTACTGAGGCTGGTCAAGACCTGGGAATGTTTGAAAGGTTGATATGGAAGCCGTTTGAACAAGATTTGAGTGGTCAATTGGAGTGGGTAGGCTTGAATAAAGAAATCCCAAGTTTGCAGGTTCCGCCGGAGTTCGTTATTGCGACAGGAGGTTCTGGGCAACTTCTACTTTATTTCCCGGCTGTTGGGGGTATGAGAAAGCCCAAAAGAGTTGAAGTTCTCAAAGGTGAAGTCCAAGCCCAAATGGCCAAAGCCCAAAATAAAGAGAAGTGAGCCCAAAGGAGATATCTGACAACCGAGGCGCATAGGGACAAAAGCTCTGACAAGAGCCACATAGCGACAGAGACATGTAACAGGAGGAAACATACGGAAAGCTGAACGGCTTAGGTCATGCGCCTTGGATATCTGACGTGGGTGTCAGATGGTCGAGGCGCATGGCAAAAAGGAAGGTACAAAGCATTAATCACCATGCTGACGTAGGGCGGATTTGGGGGGCAATGGTCGGGAAGGCTCCTAGTATAAATAGGAGAGTAGGCAAACTTCATTACTCAGGTTGGGTTCTCTCACTAAAACCTCCTTCTACTTCTCTCTCTACGATGTGGTGCTAACTTGACCGTCGGAGGTCTAACGGGCGAAGTAAGTCCGCTGTGCGCTTTGAGTGCAGAGATCCATGCGCCTCGAAAGGAGTGAAGGAAAGAAGTGCGTACGAACCGGGGAAGCGCACAGTGGCCTGAACGATCAGTTGTGCGCTTTGTGAGTAGAGGTCCATGCGCCCCGGAAGAAAGAGTGAAGGGAAGAAGTGCGTATGGATCAAGGAAGTGTAAGGTGGCTCAAGCAATTGGCGCGCCAGATAGGGGGATATGACCAAGAGTGTGACAACGAGACGCATGGAGACGACCACCAGAAAGGAGGGGAAGCGCATGGGAAGGAGGAACTTGCGATCAAGATAATGAGCCTGCTAGGTCGGGAGGCGCCTCGCTTACCAAGAGGGACTTTATGAGGGTCATTAGGGATCATGACCAGGTGCTAGAATCAACAAAAAAAAAAAGAGAGAGAGAGATTGAGGCAAAAAAAAAAAATGTGGTGAAGGAACTTGAAGGAGTAAGCACGGAGGCGAGCCTCCTTGAAAGTAAAAAGAAAAGGAGGTCACAATTGTTGGTGAAAGTGAAACGCATACACCATCAAACAACAACAAGTTGCTGATGCAGAAGGGCCTGCGACTCTATGTGTACTAGAGCCTGATTTCAGGAGCTTGAGACGCATGGAGACGACCACCAAAAAGGAGGGGAAGCGCATGGGAAGGAGGAACTTTCGATCAAGATAATGAGCCTGCTAGGTCGGGAGGCGCCTCGCTTACCAAGAGGGACTTTATGAGGGTCATTAGTGATCATGACCAGGCGCTAGAATCAACAACAACAAGAAAAAAAAAGAGATTGAGGCGGAAAAAAAAATTTGGTGAAGGAACTTGAAGGAGTAAGCACGGAGGCGAGCCTCCTTGAAAGTAAAAAGAAAAGAGGTCACAATTGTTGGTGAAAGTGAAACGCATACGCCATCAAACAACAACAAGTTGCTGATGCAGAAGGGCCTGCGACTCTATGTGTACTAGAGCCTGAGATTGGACGCACGAGGGAGGGAGCAAACAAAGACAACGACAGTTCAAAAACCATAAGCCCCACCTCAGATGGATGTTATGCACTAGAGCGGAAGATCTTGTTATTTTACGAGAGGAGCGCATATACCACCGAGCCCCACGTTTCCTCGCCGATTCTCTAAATTTGAAGGCGCTCTGTGGAGGAAGTCTAGAAATTTTGGGCCACCAGAGAGTAGTTGAAAGAAGTCAGAAATTAATCTTTATAGCTAGATAGATAGATAGAAAGAAGGAAGCGTCTAGGTGGTTATGAGCTACAGGGAGAAGAAGAAGTGGAAAAGAGAGAGAGATAAAAGCAAAAGCAATGAAACGCATGGGAAAAACAATAATAGAGCGCTTCGGAAGTGGTGATGTCTCGGCAAGGATTAAAAAAAAATATATATAAAAAAAAAAATCGTGATATGAGTGTCCCTGCCCTAGCTCAAAGAGAGCTTATTACCTCAATACGTCTTCAAGACCAGGTCCTCAAGGCGCCTCCTCAACCTTTTTCTGGACCAGGCGTGCATCTGCCCACGATGTCTGGGCGACGAGTCCAATTTACCCGAGGCCAGAGCAGGACAGCCCACGAAGGGCCCAAGCGCCCATCTCATTAACTAAAAAAAGTAAGCACTTGATGTGAGAATCGAACCTATGACTTCACAGAGCCAAGACGAGTGATTCACCACTTGGATGCAAACCTGCGCTCTGTCTCAATTTTTGGCGGGCGCCATTTCTTTACCAGTATGTGGTATCAGCACACTCAAGCTAAGTATTTCGTTTCTTCGTGATATCCGGTTTTACTTTTGCGAAATATTGCTTTTATTTTTAAATGGCTATGCGCTCAAATATAGCGCTCGTGGTGGAAATACTCTCCGCGCCCAAATTTAGTGCCCTTGGTTGGAAATACTCTTCGCGCCCAAATTTAGCGCCCGTTGTTGGAAATACTCTCCGCGCCCAAACATAGCGCCCTTTGGTGGAAATACTCTATGCGCCCTAATTTAGCGCCCTTGGTTGGAATACTCTCCGCGCCCAAATCTAGCGCCCGTAATATTTGAAATATCTATGAGGGGAGATGCCATTCACTTGTACCATTTGGAATGTCTCAAAGGGAGGTGTAAAGCGCCCGACATACTCAAAGCTTCAAAAGTTGTCGACGTAGAATACTACGTGGCACTCAAAGCCTCGAGTTTACACAATGACTCGAGGCATATGGCACAACCGCATAATGACGTGTGCTTTTAAGAGAGGCACAAGAGCCCAAATGCCAAATTCCCCATGTCATTAGGCGCATATTAGGCCGAGCGTAGTGGGAATAAAGGAGACAAAGTGGACTGGGCTCGAAATGGGGCTTAGTATGGGCACCCGTAACATCAAAGGTTCTGTAGATCGCGTACGATCTTTGTGGAAGTGAATGCTTGTGAACATGTGGCTATTAAAGCACTTGTCACAACAAAGCAACGTGATGATTGTAGGTAATTTGCGAGGAACAGATCGAGTGCAGGGGAGAAGCCCAATGGTCACACCGACGGACATGTCCAACGGTCGTGCGCCTCGAACAGAAAAAGTTGTTGCAACAGAACACATGCTAAGTGTGCTCGCAAGCAACCAGTAAATGAACAAGAAGCGCTTAATAGTTTTCCAAGATAAAGGAAGACCAAGAAGTGAAAAAAGTATGGATCGGCGAAACTGAATAAGGGCGCATAAAAATGAGGAGCACTAGCAGGCATCGAAGCATAGTTAGGCGCCCAATTGGATATATTAAGCGCCTAACGAGGGGCAATTGTCGCGAGCGTAGAGAAAGCCCAAAGGGAGAAACCCAAAAGGAGGGACAATGACTAAGTGTACAAACTCAATGATCATATTGGCCACATAAAGAGCGGAAGCCTAACAGACGTGTCCACCAGTCATGTGCCTCAAATAGGAAAGTGGTTGGAACAAAACGCATGCTACGCTTAAAATAACCAACAACGGAGCAAACGGCGCACAAGTGTCATCCAAGACAAAGGAACACCGAAAAGGGAGGATGAGTATGGATCAATAAAGCCAAACAAGGTAACTAGCAATGAGAAGCACAAGCGGGCATCGAAACATAGTTAGGCGCCCAATTAAATATATTGTGCGCCTAACTGGGGGGCAATAGTTGGGGGTGTAGAGAAAAAGAGTTACCAAGGCTAAGGGTACATGTGCAACGACCATGCGCCTCGGATAGAGTAAAAAGTTGAAATGGAACACGTTCTAGAAAACCCAATGGTCACATCAAGATGGTGAAAGAAGCAGAAGCTCAAAAGACATATCCAACGACCATGAGCCTAAGAGGGAATGGAGTGGATAGAGGCGCATAAGAGCAAGAGCAAGGAAAGTCGGGTAAGATAGAGGAAAAAACCTGACTGACATTAACTCCAAAAGGCCAATGCGCTTTGTGCGGATATGAGCGATAAAATGACGAGTGAATGAGAGAGGAAGGTGCAAAGCCGAACAAGTCGCATGGGGGGCACGAGATTATAGTTAGGCGTCCAAATTCACCATCTTCTTTGAACGCCTAACTGGGGGGCAATTGTTGGGGGTATGAGAAAGCCCAAAAGAGTTGAAGTTCTCAAAGGTGAAGTCCAAGCCCAAATGGCCAAAGCCCAAAATAAAGAGAAGTGAGCCCAAAGGAGATATCTGACAACCGAGGCGCATAGGGACAAAAGCTCTGACAAGAGCCATATAGCGACAGAGACATGTAGCAGGAGGAAACATACGGAAAGCTGAACGGCTTAGGTCATGCGCCTTGGATATCTGACGTGGGTGTCAGATGGTCGAGGCGCATGGCAAAAAGGAAGGTACAAAGCATTAATCACCATGCTGACGTAGGGCGGATTTGGGGGGCAATGGTCGGGAAGGCTCCTAGTATAAATAGGAGAGTAGGCAAACTTCATTACTCAGGTTGGGTTCTCTCACTAAAACCTCCTTCTACTTCTCTCTCTACGATGTGGTGCTAACTTGACCGTCGGAGGTCTAACGGGCGAAGTAAGTCCGCTGTGCGCTTTGAGTGCAGAGATCCATGCGCCTCGAAAGGAGTGAAGGAAAGAAGTGCGTACGAACCGGGGAAGCGCACAGTGGCCTGAACGATCAGTTGTGCGCTTTGTGAGTAGAGGTCCATGCGCCCAGGAAGAAAGAGTGAAGGGAAGAAGTGCGTATGGATCAAGGAAGTGTAAGGTGGCTCAAACACCGGCCACGATTGACCTCGCTGCAGGTCAGGGACTTCAGGGTAACACACAAACAAATTTGATCATGCTAGAATCAAGTTCAAATGGAGTTGGAGGAGGCTGCAGTGCTGTCTTGTCTATCGTTTTGCCGCAGTTGGAGTACACTTTTGAAGACCCATTTTGGGTATCGTGTGATCGTCTTTTGTCTTGCAAAATCATACAAGCTTTGAGGGAAAAGCTTTTTGAAGAAGGGGGGCCTGATATGATCCAAATTGGCCACTTCTACGAGTCACAATTACTTGCCAAAGAAGCTATCGAAGTTGGGAAGAAGAAAGGCAGAATTTGGCTAAGTCAAAATCCGTGTTCAGGATACATACTTTGGAGGCATGGTTCTCTCAATTGGCTTGTTGGAAATTCAAGTTTAATGGTTTTTTTTACAGAAAAAGTTTCCATGTTTACAATGGTATGCTTTGTGGATCCAGAAGATGTGATTAAGGTTGTTTTCCAAGGCCTCAAAGTTGCTACCTCAAAACTGGAAAACTGCCAGAAAATGACCAAGGCAGAAAACTGTTTTGTGAAGCCTACTTTGGAACTTAATTCTAGGAATATGGATCTGATTCAAGCTCAAAGGCTTCTACAACATGAAACTAGGTATATTTGTGAACAAAGGGAAGGAATTGGATGAAGAATTGGAGTTCGGGAAGGCCTCGAACGAAAGGCGTGAAGTTAGTACGAAAGCTGCCTTTTGACTGTTTGCTGGCAGCTTACTTGCACTTGAATAAAGAGTTTAAATCCGAAATTTGAGTCCTTTTTAGAGTAGATTTTTACCTTAATTGTTTCCTAGTTCTATTAGGGTTGTATTAGGTTTATTTGCCTTTAAATACCTTTCTACTTTCGTTGTAAAACTCAGACTTTGATTAATCGAAATTGAGAACCGTTTGGTTTGTGCAAGTTGCGACTTGTTTTGGGTTTGGTGGATTCCAAACTTGCTGAGCTTGTGTATCGATTGAATAGTCACTTCAATCGTGGTCGAGCAACTACCCTTTTATACCAATCGAGCTATCCCCAGGTGTGGATTTGTCCTTTTGGTTCCGTTTTATCCAAGTTCGTATTAAGAACGCTTCGTTCTTGATTCGAGCTCAATCGATTCTTCGATTGAGTCGTTAGCTGCGTGACTTTGAAAACATACACCCCCAGGGGCGTATCAATTGACTCAAGAGGGCCTTGTTCCTTTAGTCGAGACTCAAGGTCTAGTTAAGGATTCTCTGCGTTGTGAATGAAAGTAAAACAAGTTAGAGATCATTAATCATTAATCTGGCTAGTGGCTATGGGGAATTATACCTAAGTGAGTTCCCAACCTGTAATTAGATTAACTTTAGCTGTAGCCGGCTAGAGTAGTTTTAGTTCTTACATTTTACTCTGGTTTGCTAGATAATGAACTGAAGCTGAGTAATAGTAATTTTAGAGACCCGTGTATTCGATATTTATTACTTGAGCCACTATACTGCAGTCCCTTTCATTGGTTACACTTGGCCTTTGTTAGGAGTTGTGTCGTAGCGAGTCGGCTCTCTTTATTAGAGTTTTAAAACACTCTAGCCTTTCATTAAGGAGACGATTTGAAAGAACAATTAAGCCTTTTCCGGCGCTAGCTGTTTCTGGTCAAAAAGCCTTGTAATCGGCTTGAGAAAAAGTGGTTACTAAACCCAATAATTACTGTATTAAATAAGCATAAAGCCTTGTAACCGACTTGAGAAAAATTGATTACTAAACCCAATAATTATTGTATTAAATGAGTTTTGCAGGAGTTGGCGGTTACCGGGATAGAGGATGGATTCAGACGAGCCTTCGGTGAGCGATCGAGGACACTGGATGATTGGCGGTGAAAGGGACTTGCGAAATGATCGAAGGGTTGTGACGACAGAGGGAGTGGCTCGTCGTGGAAAATGATTAATCTTCCATCGACAACCATATTTCCACAATTCGATTTAGACGTTTTATATAAATGAAACACAGACAGAGAGAGGGGGCATACCTGAGAGAGTGTTGTCGCGTTGGCCACCCCTGGTGACGGCGGAGTACCTTAGCAAACACAAGAATCACTCGGGATATGAAGGGAGGGAGGAAAATCAATAACCCCAAATAGATGGAGAGAAGTTCCCAAGTGGACGAGAGCTTGTGATTCGATCCACGTCGCGTGACTCATCGGCCGCCGTCGACTCTCTGGTCATCACCGATGGCATTGCCTGATATCTCTCGCAACGACTCACAAAAGGAAATTAGAGGAGAGACTGATAGAGCCCACAGTAGTGTACAGTTTCCTGAAGCCTGAGCTTTGGTGTGGAGGATTCTGAGCTTTCTCTTTCCCTTAATTTTAAATTGACGGTTAAGATAGGGTTTGGGCGTTTTGGAAACAAAAATCCACTACAACAAATTTGGCCTATTATGACGAGGCACTTTTGTCATATTAGTTACCCATTTGGTCATATTAGGTATAATATGACAAAATGTGTTGTCACAAAGGTGTTGTCATTTTATCTCCGTCAGGATAGGTCAAATATGACAAAAATTTAAAACAATGTTGTCACATTTGTTTTCAGTATACCTGAAGTTCTAGGTAGTTTATTGTGACTAGGGTTGTTAATGAGCCGAGTCGAGCCGAGCTTTGCCTCATTCATGTTCAACTCGTTTATAAACGAGCCGAGCTCGACTCATTTATAAACGAGCCGAGCTCGACTCATTTATAAACGAGCCGAATCGAGTCGAACATGAGCCAACTCATTTATTAAATATTGACACATCATTAAGATCGAAAGTTCGGCTCGAGCTCAACTCTAAGATAATTTATAATATAAATACCCTAATATTTATATGTCGTATGTGACACTTGTGATTACATAATGTTATGTCATATATGAGACGTATTTGCTTACATATACTCAATGTATTAAACACCATATGAGGTGATATATACAATTTAATAATTATATGCATCATTAACCAACCAACTCATAAAATATAGATTGATTTTCTCATAAGCTGTAATCGAGTTGGCTCTCTAGTAACAATGTTAGGATATTTCATAAGCTCAAAACGAGACATTTCATGAGTTGTGTTAACGAGCCACCTAATCGAGCTAGTTCACGAGCTTCACGAGCCGAACAAGGTAGAGCTCAAGCTCGGCTCGTTTATTAACGAGCCAGTTTATTTTAATCTAACGAGATTTTATCGAGTTCGAGACCAAACCGCTCACGAATAGCTCGACTCATTAACAAGCCTAATTGTGACAAACAGTGATGTTATGACGACATATTGTGTCATTACGGTTGTCATAATCTGGTGATTTTGGGAGGATTGTTCGTCATATTACACAATTGTATTTTGTCATAACTATATATTCTGATGACTACATTTTGTCACAAGTGTTTATTGTGACGACATTATTTTGTCGTACCTGCATATTATGACGAGTTTTATTTGTCAGAAAAGGTGCCTTATTTGTCTTATGTCTAATATGACAAGAGCTATTTTTATCAGGCACTGTATATAATGTGACAAACAGAGATCTTATGTCAACATATTTTGTCATTAATTTTGTCATAATTTTCTTATTTTGACAAAATTATTCGTCATATTACACAATTATATTTTGACATCACATAATTGTGACGAATAAATTTTGTCTTAAATGCATGGTGTGACGAATATATTTTTTCATAAGTCATAACTGCATAATATGACAAAAATATAATGCCATAACAGTATATTAGGACGAACGTATTTTTATCATAATTGCATATTGTGACGATTATGTTTTGTCATAATTGATTGTTATGACCAAGGTTCTAAAAGGCGCTAGGCGTAAGGCAGGCGCTCGGCTCCTGACTTGCGCCTTGCCCGATTAGGCGTAGCCTAGGTGCGCCTAGGCGTTCAGAGCATAAATGGAATAATTCTCAAATATTTCATGTTTTCTGGAATAATTCATATAATCCAAGTGCATATAAAATTAGCACTGCCTAGGCGTTCAGAGCATAAATGGAATAATTATCAAATATTTCCTGTTTTCTACCTTGCATATCTGCCAAAGTTTGAGCCATCTGTCCCATCTTCCTCTCCATAGCTAGCATAGAAGATTGTAAATTATTGTTGATGGCTAGCTGTTGAGTGACAAATTGATCCAAGCCCTTGAAATTATTGTCTGTTTTCTGCATATGAGCCAGAAGCAGTTCTTCAAGTTGTGGTTTCTTCTCTGGTTGAGGTGGAGGTTGTTATTTCTGCATGCCTGGAGGTGGAATGTTGCGAGCACCATTTGGGTTGTTGTTCACCCAGGAAAAGTTAGGATGCTTCCTCCATTGTGGGTTGTAGGTATTCGAATACATACCACCCTGGCCTTGATTTCTCTGATTGTTGATATAGTGCACATCTTCCACCTGATCAGCCACCAGTGGACATAGATCCCTATGTGAGCACCTTCACATAATTCGCAATAAGAAACCTCCTCTTGTCTACCAAGAGCCAACTTAGCCAGCCTTCGTTCGAGTGCATCGAACTTGGAATCCAGCTTAGCATCAATTTTTGCTTCTAAGCTTGCAACTCTGTCTATCTCATGCAAGCCTCCTCTCCTTCGAATGCCAGTCTCACTACCCCATTCAGTATCTTCAGAGCATATCTTCTCCACCAGTTCATATGCTTCTGGTGCTTCCATTCTTGTGAAACCATTCCGGGAAGCATTATTTAGAGCATCTCGGTACTATCTTCTGATTCCGTTGAAGAAAATGGAGATCACATTCCAATCTTCAAGACCGTGGCTCGGGCATCTCATTAGAAGCTCCTTATAGCGCTCCCATGCCTCGGTCAAACTTTTATCCTCAGCTTGTTTAAAAGTGACAATTTCCTCTTGCCTTTTCATTGCCTTGGCAGGAGGAAAGTACTTATCCAAAAAGATCTTCTCAAGCTGACCCCATGTTGTGATGGAACGGGGTGTCAAGTTCTGGAACCAGTGTGATGCATTCCCTAGCAGAGAAAATGAGAACATCCGAAGACGGATGGCATCATCAGACACAGCCGGGCTCTTCATTGTGTCACAAATGTTTGCAAACCGGCGGAGATGTTCATGAGGATCCTCGGTGCTGGCCCCTGAGAAGGTGTACCCATTCGTGATCATATTGATGAAGGCTGGGGCAATCTCCATGTTTGCATCCCCAGCCGGAATGACAACACATGAAGCTCGGGCTCCAATCCTCCGATTCAGACGAGACCTGATCGAACGATCCTGTTCAGCCATGATGACAGGCTCGATGACGCGCGGCGGTGGTGTAGGTGGTGTAGGGATGACAGGTGGTGACACCTGCCTTCTCGGTTGACAATTCTGAGTTAGGGAAGGCCTAGGAGTTGTGGATGTGGTAGGCTGCTTCCCTAACTTGGCCTGCTTCCTATTCTGTCGGCAGGTCCTCTCGATCTCGGGATCTAGTGGCAGTAAATTGCCAGTCGTCCTCCTTGGCATGCACGAGGCGGATAAACCTGAAAAACTCACCTACACACTAACACCCAGATCAAAATAGTTCACTCACAAAAATCAACAAAAATAAGGTATGGCAGTCCCCGACAACGGCGCCAAAAACTTGATAGGGCAAAAGCGTATGCCTTAATCCTATCTCGTAGTAAACCAGAAAGTCCGGGTATCGTCTCTCAGGGACTGGTACAACCTTAAGATTTACCGATTTAATAGAGCAAACTATAGGTGAAAATGGTTTAACGATATTATTAACTACTAGCAAAATTAATTAATTAAGCAAATTAAAGTGTCGGGTTTAAATCAATGGGAGAAAGCTCTGGGAGATACACCGGGATTCACTACCTATCCTATCCGGATTTATTCACATATTCCAATCAATTTAATCCATACCTCTACAGCCAGGATATCACGAATGTGCTAGCTATCCCTGTCGGGAATTACTACGTACTAAATAATCAATTCAAATCCTACTGTCGTAGCTCAATGAATTAACTATATAGTCTGAAGATCGATATCCTATTTAAGACCGCATAGCACCTTATTTAATCCACTGTCGCTTCGATAAGTTACTATGTCACATGAAATATGTTCAGTTAATAGGGTTTCACTGTCGCTAATAACCTAATCAACTACAAATCGATGTATTGGTGGCCAGTCAACACAAAGCATTAAGAAATTTCATGCAATAGAGATTGGAAGAAAAGAATCATAAATCAATCAATCAAATCAAGAAATAGCTACATCCTATGGTGTTCCCCCAGAAATCGGGGTTTAGTTCATGACAAAATTAAGATAAATCGATAGGGTTTTGTTCATAATGTTTTAAATCAACAATAAACAACTAATTCGGTTTAGAAAATCCAACCAACTAATCGCTCTTGTTAAATTCAACTCAAACCGCTTGGGAGAAGTTGATTCGCCAATTTCTCAATCGCCTGCTGCTGCTCGCGTTGCGCCCTTGCTTTTTCTCTCCCACCAAAGAATTCGCCCTCCTCCAATAAATAAAAGTTCCGCCCAGTATATTCCTTTTCCCTTCCAAGTCTCTCGCCCAGATCACCAAAAAAACTTCCCAAACAATAAAGTGCCGCCTTGTCCAAGGAGAAAAGTAGAGTGGGCTTTGGCCCATTTCTTGTCCCAAGTTCCAAGTCCAATTCTATCTGGGTCTTGAGCCCAAGTGAGTTGTACACCAGTAATTCGAGCCCGATTTATTGCTTGTACACTCGCTCCTTTTTCGTGCTTTCTCCACCTGTATCATATCACACTCATGGCACTAGGCAGTAATGGTTTTTCAACCATTCTCGGGTTAGCGACCCCTAAAATAGCACCAATTGGCTAAAATATACCATGAGATAATCACATAAAGTCGAAGAATTTGATATATTAAAGCCGAATATTACAACCCCACACTCAATTGTTGCTTGTCCCTAAGCAACGACTCAAACAACACAAACACATAATCATCCAAAACAATGACACACCACAGACTCACTAATCAAACACTCAAAGCAAAACACAAAATTTCCTTGTACTCTTGTTGTAATCAGTAGTTTCTTTCTCAACGGACGAGTTGTGCTTTCATGGTCATACATTTCACCCCACACTCAAGTTCTTGCAACCATTACCATTGACTGACTCAAATCCATCAAAAACTCAAATAGCAACACTCAATTTCGATCGTCAGTAGTGGGTGATTAACAACTTATGGTGCAACAATTATTAGGAGAATCTAACCACATCAGTGAGGTGCATATCTCGTGAGGACAATCTGGCTTACTCACACCAATCATAAGCAATTAATTAAGCATGAGTCCAAAAAACTAATGGGGGAAGCCTTTCGCAAACAAGATTTTAACTTTAAGCACATCACTACCTTTTATGACAAGGAGAGGCTTTCTCTCTTTATGCTTTTGCTTGCCGAGAGGTCGTATTTAGTACAAGTGGGATTTGTTTCTTACTACCGATGACCGAGCAAGAGCAATTTCTGCTTCTTAGCACTCGCATAAGGGCTTCTTTTAACTCATTTTCCTCGGCCCGTGTGAAGGGTCATTGTTCATCCTCTAATGGCACTTCACTCAACTGGGGATCGTACTTGATAAGCAACATCGTACGGTCGCGAACCGATTCTCAATTGAATCTTTCCTAATCCCCATGTGCAATGAGTGATTGCCTCACACGATTTTGGTACTTTACCCACACTTTAATTGTTATGGCAACTTTCTTATCTTTTACTTGTCAGGTAGGATTTTTCTTTATATAAAGATACAGTTCACCCCATCATAAAACAATCAAAACAGAGAGACTCGTTGCCAAATCAAAAGCTCACAATTAAGTAAGCACGGTATCCAAACATATCGAATGGTCAATGTTCTCCACCTAACTACTTCACCAAAAGTCATTACACTATCCTCACAAAAGAGAATGTTGCTAAAAGAGTTTGCTACTTCAAAGCACATCAAGTCAGTCAAAATATCAAGCTCATTGTGAAGAACCATGCAATTCAACACTAGTGGGGTGATTTCGATGATTTCATTCAAGCACAAACTCATTTTCAAAGCATCACGGTCATTTACATCATGTTACCACAAAAGTACAAGGTTTTGTTTTTAATTTTTCTGATTTTTAGGTGTTTTTTAGCCATTAGCTTAACACAGGCAGCCTGCTTTTTACACAGGCAAACTGCATGCAGTTTGGCTATGCATAGCCAAATGACAGATTTTTTTTTTGGGTTTTTTTTTGGGGTTTTTTTTACCACATGCAACAGGGACAAACAACACTAAGACTCACCACCCCACACTCAGGATGGAACATTGTCCCTAATGTTCAACTCCTAATCTAAACATGCATGGGTTTGACACAACTAAAAAAGAAAAATAAAGAAAAGAAAACTTACCTTGGGTTGCCTCCCAAGAAGCGCTTGTTTAACGTCCTCAGCCTGACGTTCATGGAGTTTTCAACCAATGGGTATGGAAAGGTATCCAGCATACCCTCCCTAGCAATGATAGAACGCATAACCTCCATCCAGCATATGAGTCACCTCTGCAGGGCCAGGTGTGCGAAAATTGGGTAGGACCTTCTTAGCTGGCATGTTAGACCCTTTAGTGAGGCGTAGGTGGTACTGCAGCGCCTCAAGCAAGTACTCTTCCTGTTTCAATGTCAGTGAAGAAGGAATAATAACAGGAAGATTGAAATCCTTACCCAAATATCTATACTTGAGGTGACCTGGCAAGGATTTCTGTCCTTGCTTTGATTTCAGAATCTGAGCAGATAGGATAGGTGATAGTTCTTCGGATGCTCCACTATCACAGGAAGAGGGATTTTTCCTTTCTCGAGCTCCACTTTCAAATTCATCATGATTATGGTCAACTTGAAAGACATTAAAAATTTCCTCCTCCTTACCTACTCGGAATGTCAACTTGCCTCTCCCAACATCGATGAGTGCATCACCGGTTGCTAGAAAAGGTCTGCTGAGAATTAGAGGTACTCCCCGATCATCTTCCATCTCCAGAATTACAAAATCTGTTGGGAGAATAAACTTCCCCACCTTCACCAATACATTCTCCACCACTCCTTTTGGAATTTTTACTGATCGATCAGCCAATTGGAGAGTGATCCGAGTAGGCTTAAGAACATCTCCCAATCCCAATTTCTTGTAGACTGAGTATGGCATCAAATTAATTCCTGCTCCAAGATCACAAAGTGAATTATCGAACTCTGTACCTCCAATGACACATGGAATGGTGAAGCTGCCCGGATCATCCCTCTTTTCTGGTAATTTATTCTGAATCACAGCACTACATTCAGAAGTAAGAGTTACCTTCTCTAGATCAGCCCATTTACGCTTCTTTGTCAGCAACTCCCTTAAGAATTTAGCATATGTAGGCATCTGTTCAAGTGCCTCCGCCAAGGGTATGTTAATCTGAAGTTGCTTGAAGATATTCACAAATTTCTTGAAGTTTGGGTCTTCCATGGGCTTCATTAACCTTTGAGGGAATGGTGCGGGAGGTTCATAAGGTTTTACCTCTTCATTCTTCAATTTTCCCACTTTTTGAGGTACACGGGCAGCATGCTTTTGCACAGGCAAACTGCTTTCATTTTGTCTGTGCAAGGCTGATTCTTCATTTTCTGCACAAGATCTTTCTCCTGGTGCTTCCTCTTCTGCCTCTGGTGCCTTTTTCGAGCTGCTAGGGTCTTCCAAGGCCTTTCCACTCCTCAATGTGACGGCTACAACCATGGCGTCCTTTGGATTCCTCTCAGTATTTGCTGGTAATGTCTCAGAAATCCTGCCTTGCATATCTGCCAAAGTTTGAGTCATCTGTCCCATCTGCCTCTCCATAGCTAGCATAGAAGATTGTAAATTATTGTTGATGGCTAGCTGTTGAGTGACAAATTGATCTAGGCCCTTGAAATTATTGCCTGTTTTCTGCATATGAGCCAGAAGCAGTTCTTCAAGTTGTGGTTTCTTCTCTGGTTGAGGTGGAGGTTGTTGTTTCTGCATGCCTGGAGGTGGAATGTTGCGAGCACCATTTGGGTTGTTGTTCGCCCAGGAAAAGTTAGGATGCTTCCTCCATTGTGGGTTGTAGGTATTCGAATACATACCACCCTGGCCTTGATTTCTCTGATTGTTGATATAATGCACATCTTCCACCTGATCAGCCACCAGTGGACATAGATCCCTATGATGAGCACCTTCACATAATTCGCAATAAGCAACCTCCTCTTGTCTACCAAGAGCCAACTTAGCCAGCCTTCGTTCGAGTGCATCGAACTTGGACTCCAGCTTAGCATCAATTTTTGCTTCTAAGCTTGGAACTCTGTCTATCTCATGCAAGCCTCCTCTCCTTCAAATGCTGGTCTCACTACCCCATTCAGTATCTTCAGAGCATATCTTCTCCACCAGTTCATATGCTTCTGGTGCTTCCATTCTTGTGAAACCATTCCGGGAAGCATTATTTAGAGCATCTCGGTACTGTCTTCTGATTCCGTTGAAGAAAATGGAGATCACATTCCAATCTTCAAGACCGTGGCTCGGGCATCTCATTGGAAGCTCCTTATAGCGCTCCCATGCCTCGGTCAGACTTTCATCCTCAGCTTGTTTAAAAGTGACAATTTCATCTTGCCTTTTCATTGCCTTGGCAGGAGGAAAGTACTTATCCAAAAAGATCTTCTCAAGCTGACCCCATGTTGTGATGGAACGGGGTGTCAAGTTCTGGAACCAGTGTGATGCATTCCCTAGCAGAGAAAATGAGAACATCCGAAGACGGATGGCATCATCAGACACAGCCGGGCTCTTCATTGTGTCACAAATGTTTGCAAACCGGCGGAGATGTTCATGAGGATCCTCGGTGCTGGCCCCTGAGAAGGTGTACCCATTCGTGATCATATTGATGAAGGCTGGGGCAATCTCCATGTTTGCATCCCCAGCCGGAATGACAACACATCAAGCTCGGGCTCCAATCTTCCGATTCAGACGAGCCCTGATCGAACGATCCTGTTCAGTCATGATGACAGGCTCGATGACGCGCGGCGGTGGTGTAGGTGGTGTAGGGATGACAGGTGGTGACACCTGCCTTCTCAGTTGACGATTCTGAGTTAGGGAAGGCCTAGGAGTTGTGGATGTGGTAGGCTGCTTCCCTAACTTGGTCTGCTTCCTATTCTGTCGGCAGGTACTCTCGATCTCGGGATCTAGTGGCAGTAAATTGCCAGTCGTCCTCCTTGGCATGCACGAGGCGGATAAACCTGAAAAATTCACCTACACACTAACACCCAGATCAAAATAGTTCACTCACAAAAATCAACAAAAATAAGGTATGGCAGTCCCCGGCAACGGCGCCAAAAACTTGATAGGGCAAAAGCGTATGCCTTAATCCTATCTCGTAGTAAACCGGAAAGTCCGGGTATCGTCTCTCAGGGACTGGTACAACCTTAAGATTTACCGATTTAATAGAGCAAACTATAGGTGAAAATGGTTTAACGATATCATTAACTACTAGCAAAATTAATTAATTAAGCAAATTAAAGTGTCGGGTTTAAATCAACGGGAGAAAGCTCTGGGAGAAACACCAGGATTCACTACATTTCCTATCCAGATTTATTCACATATTCCAATCAATTTAATCCATACCTCTACAGCCAGGA